TGTGTTTTAACATCCATCCATTATCTATACCTCACTAATCTCACGAGGGTCGTGGGGGGCTGGAGTCCATCCCAGCTGACTCAGGGTGAAGACAGGGGACACCCTGGACAGGTAACCAGTCTACACTTAGAGACAGACAACCAAGCACACTCACATTCACACCTACGGACAATTTAGAATCACCAATTAACCTCAACATGTTTTTGGACTGTGTGGGAGGAAGCCAGAGAACCCGGAGAGAACCCACGCTGCACGGGTAGAACATGCAAACTCCACGCAGGAAGATCCCGGGTGTCCTCACCGGGACGCGAACTGGCGACCTTCTTACTGCGAGGCAACGGTGCTTGCAGCCCAAGATACATACAGCATGGTGAAATATTTAAATGTAAAACATAGAGTTTAGAGAGGTTGTAAAAGTCTGAAAAGGCCCAGTCAAATAGCCTGTACAGCATGTGGAGCCACCATTTTCCCCTAAGTGTTGGTAACACTACTACTACACTACTCCATTGTTAAGAGATTCATGAACCTATAACTAACTCTCCAGTGTCACCTTCAAGACTTGCATACAATGTTAAGATAAGCTTAAAAAACTTGTGATTGACATTTTTTACACAAGAAAAGAAACATCTTATTCACATTTGTTTATACTTAGTAAGAATTTCATTGCACAGTGCAACTGTCTGTGCATATGACAGTAAACCTCTTGAATCTTGACTCTAACAGTGAGTGTTTCTGTTGCATGTATGCACGAGTGTGTGTGTGTTTGAGAAGCCTTGAACCTACACAGTGGAATTTCCTCCAATCACTTCACATTGTTCACACGAACAACGAGTCAAAGACGACAGGGCGGCGCAGAAACCCTCCACACCCTTCAGGGTGTCTCGGAGGAACCATAAGCACTTCCAGGTCAAAAGGCCAGCACACACACACACACACACACACACACACACACAGCAGAAAACTCAACAGGTCACCATGCACTAAACACATCTAAAAATTGCATATGTCAAGAGGCAAGTGAATCTTTTGGGGAATGAAGACTGGAGTCTATTTGGTCTCTCACTAATAAAGCAGCATTCATTAAACTGGTAAAAGCTCACCGTTGCTCAGTCGTCCTCTCAAGGACAGTCTGACCTCAGTGACAATGATAATAAAAGATGAGGCCAAAGAGCCTGAGAACCATCCATCTCTATTAATCCTGCCAGGTTTCCTGGGCCTGACAGAGGGAAATCACTAATAGAGGAGCAGTGATAAGCACACAGCAGGGGCACAGAGGGATGGGACCAGTGAAAATATGCTTTCCTTTTTATATTGGAGGGATTTATTTTAACCCAGTGAGCTGAGTGAATCTGTCCACCGTGAGTTCAGCTTAACAAATATTCGTATTCATTAGCCGCTTGGTAACTCTCTCTGTGTGGATACGTGCAGGGCAGGTAATGTAGGGTGAATCTATTTAGAGGTTTTGCTTGCAACTGCCTGATTTAGAAGACGAGACCAACAAGAAATGCACAGTCATTATACTAAAACAATGAACTGCAAAAAGCCTAAAGAGATGAACCAAAAATTGTTTGACGGTTCAATATAAGAGTCAATTTTTCTCAATTTGCAAAACCAAAACAATTATAAGCTCTAATCTTATCATTTAATGATCTAATAATCTTTTATTCATGAATGATTGCTTACATGTTTATTCAGTGTGTTTTCAGACAAAGACAATGCCGATGTTTTCAGGCTGAACTCTGGTTTCAGTGATGGGACTTTAGTGCAACATGACTGAAGTGAAAAATACATACTTGAGGTTCTTATTAAGAAACGAGTGACAGTCTGAGAAGAAGCTCATTTCTCTGCAAGGATTTGAGGACTTCTGTAGATTCTGTAGGGGTTTTGTGTTCACTGTCAGGTCATAAATAATCAGTCATTCTTGTTCTTCTCTGGGAGAGAAAGAGATCTGAGCCAACAATGCAACAAAGTATTTGGTTTATTTTCTGAGGTGAGAAGAGTCACGGCAATATCGAATGGTTTTGAACGGCTTTTACCAGGTTTTTTTTTTTTTTTTTTTTTACAATTTACTGTGATTTTTACATTTTTGCCTGGTTTGTTAAACTACAAATAATAATGATTAAAGTCACAGAAAAAAAATAAAATAACATTTAAAAATAAATAAATACGTTATATATATGAAAAAGACAAGAAAAAATATGTAAATTAAAGACTGTAAAGTGGTTAAAAAATATAACTGTTATTTTGCATTTTTCCTGTTTTCCTAAATTACAGATAATAGTTAATAAAATCTAGAGAAAAAAGTAATAATTTACACATTAACTATGAAAAAACAAAAAGCGGCCAACTGCTGTAAATGATGTCTACATCAAAAATCTGTACTTTTACAAAAAAATTACTTCATTGCTGTATAATGTGTGACCTCAAATGACTGTATTTAAATCCACTAAAATGTCATTTATTTAAAAAACAGACATCTGCCATTATTTTTTTTTAAAAATTCATTTAAAATACATGTTGTTTATACATTTTAGAAAAAGATGCATATTGAAGATAGAAAAATGGTAAATACTTTTAGAGTATTATATTGTTATTTTATGTATTTGTCCTGTTTGATAAATTACAGATAATAATTGCAAAAATCATGGAGAAAAAAAATGTTAATTTATACGGTAACCAATAAAATAAAAACAAAACAGGCCAAGACTGTAAATGATGTCCACGTCGAAAATCTGTCTCTACAAATAATAAAGTAAAAATAAGTAATTTGTTCTTTTACAATATGTGTCTGTAAAATTACAGTTTAACTCCATTGAAAATATGATTTTCCTTTTATTTTTACATTTGTTTAAAATTACAATAGTTCATCATTTTTTAATGCTTTTTTTTTCTGACAACCTCACTGACAAATTTGAACAATGTTCTTTTACATATTTTTACATTTTGTACAGTGCAATATGGGTCTATCCTGTAACTGAATGGAAACTTAAAATAAAAGGACAAAACCAGATATGTTTTCATATGTAGTCACAGTTACGTAGTTATGTTAAATGTGAGAGAGAGAATCAGACTTGTAGGTGTGAGAAAGAGGCCTTCAGGTGCTGCATTAGAGGAAACAGCCATGATGAGGGTTGTGAACTACATTCAGGCTGCTGGCTGTGCAGAAACAACCAGCGTGTTTACACAGTTCAGTAGGGTACATGAAGCTGAGACTCACGGTCACATGACCCTGTGTTTGGTGTGTGTGTGTGTGTGTGTGTTGGTGTGTGTGCGTCCATATGTTATCAAAAGGAAGCGATTATAACTTGGTCGGGGTGAAACCTACTTCAGACTTCAGCTGCTATTGTTCAGCCCTTCCTGGTTGTTCCAGAGGAAGACGAGGCTCCATCACTGTCACAGCTTTTGTCAACCTCGCCTGCTCTCTCTTTCTTCTCTTTCACTTGTTTGATCCATTTATTTACGTCGTTTTTTTTTCTCTCTTTTTAGTCCCAGCGACGCAGCTAAAATCAAAACCTACTCTGAGAAAAGTTGTTTGGCAGACATAAAGGTCTAAATTAAATTCACTTTAAACTTCCTGTGATTTACCACTGATTTACATTTCATCACCATTTGGCAGCTTCAACAGACACAAATGCAGACAGTTGTGTTGTGCTGCCATCTACTGTCAAAGACGCAGCATGGTTGCATGAAGTCCACTAAGCTGCCCACTGTGGTCTTTAAGCTGGTTCTTTTTTATGATTTTCACATTATCCATCCATTATCTATGCACCGCCTAATCCTCACTGGGGTCCCAGCTGACAGGGGACACCCTGGACAGGTCGCCAGTCTATCACAGGGCTACACTTAGAGACAGACAACCAAGCACACTCACATTCACACCTACGGACAATTTAGAATCACCAATTAACCTCAACATGTTTTTGGACTGTGTGGAAGGAAGAACCCGGAGAGAACCCACGCTGCACGGGGAGAACATGCAAACTCCACGCAGGAAGATCTCGGGTGTCCTCATCAGGACACGAACCGGCGACCTTCTTGCTGTGAGACCACGATGCTAACCACCGAGCCACCTTGTAGCCCATTTTCACATCAGAACGATTTCTGTTCAACCATCTCTGCTTTGCTCCAGATTTTTTTAAAGCATAAAATTTGGATATTTGTAAAAGTTGAAAATTATTTTTAAAAGATTTGCTTAATTATGATGAAAGAACCATTCTGAAACTTCAGAAGTATTTTCTACTTGGATAAGGGCATCAAGAAATGTTATTGTTTTTGTGGTACAATTTTTCACACCTGGTGCAACCCAGTATTTCAAATTTAAAAAGTATTTAATATATTTTGATTTTTGACAAAATTTTTGACCCGACTCCGGATAAGCGGGAGAAGATGGATGGATGGATGGATATTTTAAAATGCAGCTACACGTGATTTAGTAGAATAGTTGACTTCTTTATTTTTCTGTTAACAAGTGCTCAAACATAGGACTTTATCTGATCTACTTGTACAATATTGCAGATTTAAAATTAAAGGCGAGATGAGAAATAAGAGTGAAAATTTCAGGCTTTTGTTTTTAATAGTTCCTGAGATGTTGTCATTCAAGCATCACTTTAAATTTAAATGAGGGAATTAAACTGCTCAAAGTGGGTTAATTTTTATTTCAAATATCAAGCTAAAAATTCACAGACACCATTTTAAATAACAATAGTTTATCGTTAAAAAAAAGAGCAAATCAGAGATGGTCGAGCAGAAGGCCCCTGATGATTTGAGATGGAATGACTTTGTCTTTTTAAACAGCAAATAAATTAAATGTTACTGAAACACTCAGGAGCTTAAAGGTTTGGCTGAAATGCACACAGGTGCTGGAGAATGACTCAATTACACCTGATCTGATTCACCTGAGGCGGCCCTGCCAGTTATAACCTCCCCTCAGTGGGTTTCATTCAGTTTTCATCAGTGTGATCCAGCAGCTCAGACGTGTCCACCGTGCATCAAAGTCCAACATGCCCACCAAGAATGTCACCGACGAGCGCCTCTCCAAGTTTAAGAACAAGGGGAAGGATCCGGCAGTAAGTTGACAGTTCTTCTACAAAATCACACACACAAGTGTTTTAAACTAAACTGCGTCGTCACGTTTTGCAGAAACTCCGAGAGAAAAGGATCACGGAGTGCGTGGAGCTGCGCAAAGCTCACAAGAATGAAAGTTTCCTGAAGAGGAGGAATTTAACTCTGTCGTCTCTCCCGGACGAAGAGGGTCTTTCTCCAGACCACTTGTCTGCAGAGACGGTCGGTTCACAGAAACATTTGATTACGTTCATATAAACTCGTGCAGTACTGAACAGCATGTCTGTCATCCAGGTGACTCCTGCGTCCATGGAGGAGATCATTCGAGACGTGAACAGCGAGAGCAGAGAGGCCCAGACCAGAGGCTGTCAGGCAGCCAGGTGAGGAGTCGGGGGTGTTCCTCACATGTGAGGCCTGGACTTTATTCTGTCAAGTCATAAACAAGGAGCTTCTTAGTTTTTAATCTGGTGGTTGGGGGGAAAAAAAACATTATTTCAAGCTTGTTGCATGCAAACAATGCAAAATAATGTTCCATTACTTGAAATTGCACTCTTAAAAGTAATCCAAAGGACCTCCACCACTTACTAAAAGCATGACTGCAAGATTTTATTTATTTTTTATTTAAATCTACTACTACTTTATGAATTTAGATAGACCTTTTAAGTTGAAAACATGATTTTAATTGGGTTGTGTTGTCATGATATTGGTAACTGTGTCAACTTATTAGTATGTAAGACTTAAACTCCAATTTCCACACTGAATAAAACTACAGTATTTTTTTTTTCTTCACCCTGATATCAGAATTTCAAGTCTCCTACCTACTTGACACTGGAGCAACTTTTATTTATTTATTTATTTATTTGCATTTGCCAACCTGAAAACTTAATGAAGTACGAACACGGAATTTCATTTAAAATGTGGAAATACAACATTCGTAAGCTTAATTTTTGCAAACCAACTTAAAAACCTGTTTACACTATCAATACAAGTGGCCATTCCTCTGACTCGGTTTAGTTTGTAAACATAATTTCATTAGAAGCAGTCGTAACTCAAAGGCGGATGTAGATCAATGCAATACATTTTTAGTAGTTGTACCTAAACATTAATTTTTTAGAGTGTAATGAAGGTAGGAAAATACTTGAAGGTATAATTTGTCCACCTTCCCTCAGAAAACTGCTTTCTCAAGAGTGTAACCCTCCGCTGAAGGAAATCATAGACGCCGGCCTTCTCTCCCGCTTCGTGTCCTTCCTGTCGATGGACGATGAGCCGGCGCTGCAGTTTGAAGCAGCCTGGGCTCTGACCAACATCGCCTCTGGGACGTCCTGGCACACGCAACAGGTGTCTGTATCTGAACTTTTGTTTTGGAAAAGCATGACTCGCTCAGGGTTTAACGTGACAAACTGTGTTTTACAGTGACTTGGATTTTCATGGTGCATGATGGCCTGCAGAAATCTTCTCTCCCTATTCTGAAATCATCCATCATCTATACACTGTTTAATCCTCACTAGGGTCACGGGGTTGGCTGGAGTCTATCCCAGCTGACTCAGGGTGAAGGCAGGGGACACCCTGGACAGGTTGCCAGTCTATCACAGGGCTACACTTAGAGACAGAAAAGCACATTTACACCTACGGACAATTTACAATCACCAATTAACCTCAGCTTTGTACTGTGGGAGAGTCGGAGAACCCACGCTGCATGGGGAGAACATGCAAACTCCACACAGCTGTGAGGTGACGGTGCTAACTACCGAGCCACTGTGCAGCCTTTTATGCTGAAATCAATTTTAAACCACATTTCTGCCCTCAGGTGGTGGAACATGGGGCTGTACCAGCTTTCATCTCCTTGCTGGCCTCACCGATGCTGCACATCAGTGAACAGGCTGTCTGGGCTCTTGGAAACATTGCAGGTAAAAGTCTAAGTTAGAGAAATGTGATGTTATCCTCATGTCCAAAGTTAATTTAATGAGTATGTTCAGTAGAAATGCTTTCCAAAAGACCCCTTGATGTGGTTGTGGAACTTAGATTAAGGGATAAGACTCTGGTCAGGTTGGTATCATAAATAAAGGGGCAGTGTTAAAATCTAAATGTACACATGTCTAAGTGTCTGGCTTAATGGCACAAAATGTAACGACTGGACAGGTGACGGTTCGGCTTTTCGAGACGTCCTGATTGAGTGCAATGTCGTCCCGGCCTTGCTGGCTCGCATCTCCCCCGACACGCCAGTAAGTCAAAGCTTCACCAGCTCAGAATGATACAAGTGCATGATTGTTTTTCTCTTTCAAACATATGATTAGGGGAACATTTCCTTAAATTCAACTTCTTTACTGAACCCTAAAGCTTAGCATCAGCAGGTAGCTCAACCAGACAACCAGCAGGCACTTTTTACAACTTTATGCTTCAGTTTGACAAGACTGCCACAGTTAATAGCTAGACAGCAGGGAGGTGTTTGTCTTGAGACCCTTACAGATGTTCAGCAAACACATCTGTAATACCATCTCATTAAACTGGAACCAACCAGGCACTACAGCAGGGAGGTGTTTTGTCTTGAGACCCTTACAGATGTTCAGCAAACACACCTGTAACACCATCTCATTAAACTGGAACCAACCAGGCACTACAGCAAATCCACAACACATTTTCAGACATGCATGGTCCTTGATTAACAGATTAACTTAAACCAAGCATAGGCCTGTTTCTAATGAGATGTTACTTGTTGGGCACATCAGCTTAGCATTGCACTCCTGTAAACTATCTGCATCATGGATAGTTTTAAGAAGTGTAAACTGATGTATGAAGACATGTTTTATTCAACACTTCCCTGAAAAGCTTGGGTGCATTTTCTACATACTTAGAAAGTAGCTCAACCATCCTTAGTTTGGCAATTTGAGTGTAATGCTAGTAGTGGGAGAGTGTCAATATGGACCTGAAATCAAGTTCTTCAGTGTTGTTAAAAGGTGTATTGGGTACTGTCAGTCAACTGTAAAGATGATCTCCACACTTGATGTCTGTTTTTAACAAGTTGTTTACTCTTCTGTGGAAGCTGACATTACTTGAACATTTATCAGCAGCTCCAGGCTATTTCACTGGTAGCACGAGTGGTCGTACCTCTGACCTCGCCACAGGCAAAACATATGATTTTCTGAACATTTTCTTATTGAAAGATTCTACAGTTTACCAATGTTCCCTAAACCCCTCACATTGCAGGCTGTGGTAGCTGCTGCTTGTTTGCTGCAATGTGGTCAGACAGGTGTCCAAAAATGACCCTGAAAAGACTAAACTAGGGTGTTCTAATGTCAGATTTGTCCCAGATAAAATGGGGATTTTTTTTTTCTGAATGTGTTTTTCTTTAAATGGAAAAATGATGAATACACATGGGCTCAGTTTTCATGAAAAGACTACATTTTTAAGCATAAATACCACAGTACACCAAAGTTATAGAAGTTTCCACCCCTGTGGTTAACACAGTAGCTGCCTTTGCCAGTTAAAGCGATTCTAATACAGCTTAATGATCACCACGCACTCTCACCAATGCAACCACTTGAAATCAGTCTGGAGCCCTGATCAGTATTTCTGCATATGCAAGAGGCCTTCACAAAATCTAACAAATGCCTATAATCAGAGTTTGATGTATAAAGTTGCTGTGGCATAAGCCCAAACATCACTGCTCTCCATTACTCATGACTGTCCATAACTGCAGGTTGGCTACCTGCGTAACCTAACATGGACATTGTCCAACTTGTGCCGAAACAAGAACCCATTTCCACCCTTGTCTGCAGTCCTGCAGGTAAGTGAAACCACATCTTCATAACAGTTGCAGCAAAGCTTGCCATTCGATTTCACAGAAGAAACTTTTAGTCCAGAAAGGCGCCATACTACCAGATCAATGTGCTGTCATTCCTTCAGGTGCTTCCTTCTCTGATCCAGTTGCTCCATCACAGTGATAAGGACATCTTGTCTGACGCATGCTGGGCCATCTCCTACCTCTCAGATGGCGACAATGACCGCATCGATGTTGTCGTGAAAACTGGCATTGTTCCTCGACTGGTGCAGCTCATGAACCACGAGGATCTCAGCGTCATGGTAGTCCTCTTGGATCATTAACCCACACACATGCTCTTACACTTGAACCAAACCTTAAACACCATGGACTTGAAGGTTTATGCTACACAGATGAGACATTCAAGATCTGTAATTTCTCTGTGAGAAACTATGATTAGATTGTTGCTTCCTTAATGACAGTAGTAGTTTGTGGTGTTGCTGAATAAAGGACATGTTTAGTTTTCTCAAGTTAGTCTTCAAAAGTTTGACACAGCTAAGTGATCCTTATTCTATCTTCCTGACCTCCAGACGCCATCTCTCCGCTCCATCGGGAACATCGTGAGCGGCTCCGATGTGCAAACCCAGATGGCGATTGATGCCGGCGTTCTGAACATCCTGCCCCAGTTAATGAGGCACAAAAAGGCCAGTGTGCAGAAGGAGGCAGCGTGGGCTTTGTCCAACATTGCTGCAGGACCTTGTAATCAAATTCAGCAACTGATCACCTGTGGTCTGCTTCCTCCTCTGGTAGAACAGCTTAAAAATGTGAGTAGCCTTCGAATTTGTTGAATGTCATGCTCGAATAGCCATCAAGACTTTTATTACACAACCTAACTGACAAAACGGATTAGTCACTAATTCCGCCAGTGCTTTCCCTAAGAGTCAAAATGTCCCAAATAGGTAAATGTCTATCAACAACTTGTCAGGTCATTTTTGGAATTAAACCAGAAGCTGTTTGAAAGGCTTGTATTTAATCCACCAGCATTGTTTGTAGTCAATTTGGTGCTTAAGGGATAAAACTTGTGCTGATTTTCTTTCAGCTTCATTCTGAGTCAGCCTGTCTTCAGTAATCCCTCTCCTGTGAAAATGTATTTCAAATATGACCTTTTCTTTATCACAAAAAATGTGTTTCAGATTCTTCAAATGTACAAAACCTTAAATTGTGTGGGAATTCTAAATCACAGTATTTGCCATCTTCTGTCAGGGTGACTTCAAGACTCAAAGGGAAGCAGTGTGGGCAGTGACAAACCTGACCAGCGGGGGCACTGTGGAGCAGGTGGTCCACCTGGTGCAGATAGGAGCACTGGAAGCAATTATCAACCTGCTGCAGGTCAAGGATGCAAAAGTCATTCTGGTCATACTGGATGCCATCAACAACATCTTCATGGTGAGGGCAGGCAACTTGGGAGATTAGGAAACTTGAACTCGTGCAACAAATTTGGTAAAAGCTCGACTACATGTAGAGAAAACCAAAAACGAAATGGGTTTAATCAACAACGTGACTTTTCAGGCAGCAGAAAAGCTTGGTGAGACAGAGAAGCTGACCCTGTTGGTGGAAGAGCTAGGAGGACTGGACCGCATCGAGATGCTGCAGAACCATGACAATGAGCTGGTGTACCAGTCTGCACATAACCTCATCGAGAAGTACTTTGGTGATGTAAGCTGACTTTCTTTGTCACGTATTCATGTCATGTCTGAAGTTGAGGTTGCACAATTTGACTGTTTTTCCTTCTAGGGTGATATCGAAGGAGTCAAGGTTGACACGACACAGGATGCCTTTGCATTTCAGAGCCCTGATGTTAAGAGAACCTTTGAATTTTAAACTCAAACTTGGCTATTGTATGTGTGTTTAATGTTCATGTTAAAACAAATAAATTTACTTGTGTATTAAAGTCTCAAACTGATGGCATAAATGATATAAACTGAAAGGGACACTAGGTATGCAGCTATAGGCAGGTCCAAAGCTGCATATTTTTCAAACCATCCATCCAAGATCTATGCACCGCTTAATCCTCACTAGGGTCGCGGGGGGGCTGGAGCCTATCCCAGCCGACTTAGGGCGAAGGCAGGGGACACCCTGGACAGGTCACCAGTCTATCACAGGGCCACAGACAACCAAGCACACCTACGGACAATTTAGAATCACCAATTAACCTCAACATGTTTTTGGACTGTGTGGGAAGAAGCCGGAGAACCCGGAGAGAACCCACGCTGCACGGGGAGAACATGCAAACTCCACACAGAAAGATTCCGGTGCCCCCACCGGGACACAAACCGGCAACCTTCTTGCTGCGAGGCAACAGTGCTACCAACTGCGCCACCCTGCAGCCCATAACCCTAAACCAATGTAACAAATTTAAAGCAGGCAAACAACTGCTGCTGCTGCCAAAGCAGGAAAAGGAGTGATGCCAGAGTAATGAGTTTATTATCGCCAGCCAATCATTAAGACACGAGTACATCTGAGTAACTGGGCTTCAGTTGTGTACTCCATTGAATGAGTTTCTTAGATGTAGATGGCATTTTAAACAACTTCAGCTGAAGTGTTGAACTTGCTTGGGAGTGGAAGGAAAAAAAGAGCAAATGCAAACCAGTAAGTAGGCCTAAATCTCAGTCATTAAGCACAAAACTTTTGTGCTTAATTGGTCAATTTAAGGATTTTATTGCTATATAAAGGCCTAAAAAAAAGTTGAAATTTCTTTGTCAACAAGGAAAAAGAATACTGCCACTGTATTGTCACTGACATCATTTATGCTTGTCAGGTGAAGACAGTTTCGCTCAATCTTAATCTGAAATGTTGCTGAAAGTGGGCATTTCTGAAATGGCATTAGTTTCACTACAACACTGTATTGTCCATGTAAAATCCCAGATGGTGTAGAGCCACTTCCTCCACTATCAGCTGGCTTTTTTTTTTTTTTTTGCAACTCACTCAGTTGCCTGTTTATTTGGCACATTTTTCTTAACCTAATGTATTCTAAAACAAACCCTTCATGAAGGTTATCGGTATTTCGTTAGTACTTCTCATAGTTTAATCATAGCAACTGGACTTGCTTGAGTTCCTTGAAGATGTTTCATCCAAGAGGCTTCATCAGTTCTGACTGACCAGTTGGGAGATGCATATACTTATATCCTAAAGGAGCCATTAACACCTGAGTTTCAGTTTCAATTGGGGGATTTGTTGCTTCTCGCCCTCGTTATGAGTCGTTAGTGCTCCCCCTGCTACACAGGGGTTCGTTAAGGTCTTTTGTGGCTATGTGTGAATAAACTTCATTGACATCCAGTAGGCTGTAGTTTGTGCAGCTGTTACACAAGAGCTTTATTTAGCTTACCCTCTGATATAAATGGGGTAGAAAAAAAACACAGAAACCTCTTTTAGCATCCATCCTAATGACCGTATAGTTGACGCGTCACTTAAAAAGGTATGAAACACTACACTCAGATCAACTGACTTCAGTGAACATGACTGATTTTTGACTTAATTGTGGTGTTAATGCATAACTGAGTGACATTACTGCATGATCATGATCCTGAATCACTTTTTTTTTGGTTCATAAACCATTTCTGACTTTCTAAGATTTAACGATGAAATGAGAGTTTAATGACTGCTGTTAAAGGGACTTACCAAAGGAAGGAAGAACTCTTAACTGGTTAAACATGTATTTCATCAGACTGGTGATTCTGTGAAATCTTCGTTTCAGTTTCTCTGGAACTAAAAGGAAATCTTCAGCTTACAAGCAAAAAATGGGAGCGGTCATCCTAATACATGCTGACTGATCACTCGTGACAAACTTTTTTGTTTAAGGCAGATAAATGAGAACTTCTGATTTTGATTTTGTTATTTTTAAAACTGCAGACAAGTCATTCTGAAGAACCTTCCAAGTTACAATGACACGTTTTTTCCCACAACCCTCTCCTTTATCTAGAATCCATGAAGATAATTCTGATTTAATCTGTCCAGGTTTTGAAATGTTTGAGTTTTGCTGTCACTTTTACTACACAAGGAATGAACATGCAATGGTGACAACGTTTTATTATTTTTTTCCCTCAGTGATTTCAAAACGTCCATCCATTATTTATACACCGCTTAATCCTCACTAGGGTCATGGGGGGCTGGAGTCTATCCCAGCTGACTCAGGGTGAAGGCAGGGGACACCCTGGACAGGTCACCAGTCTATCACAGGGCTACACTTAGAGACAGACAACCAAGCACACTCACATTCACACCTACGGACAATTTAGAATCACCAATTAACCTCAACGTGTTTTTGGGCCTTGTGGGAGAACCCGGAGAGAACATGCAAACTCCAGGCAGAAAGATCCCGGGTGTCCTCACTGGGACGTGAACCGGCGGCCTTCTTACTGCGAGGCAATGGTGCTAACCACCATATACCTTGCAGCCCATATTTCAAAAGGTGGGAAAATGAAACCAAAACCACCAGCGGGCAGATACATATGAACTCTTTATAACCTAAAAAGGAAAATCCAGTTTTTAAAGTTGATGAAACAAACAAAAAAAATCTTGTCTTACTGGCTACTTTATATAAAATCTGGGGATTCCCTTAGTGATTACATGAGCAGATTTTTGAACGGATGAGATGACTTTTGTGCCGCACCCCTCCCTCAAACACACCCACAGCAGCTCTGATATAAGAAAAGACGACTGGCATCATCTGTACAGAAGACTTCACGCTAACTGGCTCTGACGGCTTCACCACCTGCAGCACTTCTATCAGGTAAAACCAAACACATTTAATCATGTTTGGATTTGTCATTTTGAGTGCTTTGATAATATTCCTATCCTGTAATAAAGTTAGGGATATTAAGTTGTTTTTTGTTTTTTTTAAATGCTTCTCGACTTAAGATCTGACTCTCATCATTACAGATGATTGAGGAAGTGATTTGTAAATCATAAATGAGCAAAATTGCACTAACTGGTTCTATATGTTTTTCCTTTTCTTACAGTTGAGCATCATGTCGAAGAATAACATGTTATTTGTTCTCATCTGCTGCCTCTGTGTAAAGACAAAACCTCTAAATGCAAAGACGGTAAGATGACAGATACTCTCACTCAGCACTTAGTGGCTATATATTAAAAAAAAACTACAAATGTTCTATTTTTTAATGGTTTATTGACAGTAGAAATTACACTTTAAATAAATAAATGCAGTTGAGAATGTCTCAACAGTAAAAAAACAACAACATTTATCTGCCATTTGATGGTTAATATATCTTTTTTTGGGGGTAAATTGACATTTGCTTTTATCTTTTTGTGTATTTACAGTAAAACAAAGCACAATTTCTGCTAATTGATGGTAAATATACAGTATAAAGACTGCAAATGTAAAATGAATCCATAAACTAACTGAAAATGTGCTGCTAGCTGATGACCGAGGTTTTGTCCTGTAATAAATGACATATGTTAATTTATTGTTTAATATGTGGTCATACAACTCTCAATTTCTCAGAGTGCATGTCAGCAATTCGGTTTTAAATCTCTGTATATTGTTTTAGGGCTTGAAGCACACTAGGAACAAAAAGTCAGGCTCCATCTTGGCCTTCCCTACTTATTCTTCTAGTCTGTCTGTGCAACACTACATTGGTGGAGGATCACTTAATGCTTTCTGTATTCTGCAAAGGAGAAATTCCTGGTGGCAAATGTTGAATCCTTTTGTTAATTTTTCAGCCTAGAAATCAACTTCACTGATGTTGCTGAAAACACTTTAAATTTCCAGGAAAAAACAGAAGTTCATGACCTGACCTCAGCAGATTTATGAGATGACTCCTCTTTTCATTGACACCAGTCTATTCAATGCCCTTTTCGTTTACTACAAACTGCGCTTTCTAATTGCTCTTGCAGTTGCCTGAACAGGAAACCGTCCCTCCGAAAGCTTCAGATGTGGATTCTGGGAGGCCTTCTCAGCAGGAAGCTACTACGGCTCCCTATCTTGCCCTTGAAGATGCCATGAAGTCTCAGAATATCTCCAGCCAGGCTGTCGAGGAGAAAACCACAAACATCTCACTGAAGTCCTCCAGTTCCTCTGCTCTGTCCGTTCTCTTCAGAATCCCCCTGAGCTCGTCTCCAGACTCTGTTGACGACATGTACTACGGCTGCTCCGAGAAGATGCTCATCAAGGTGAAACGTCAGTTCCTCCCCAGAAGCACCAGGGAAGGTCTACGCAGCACATACACAACACTTTGTGCAGTTAAAGCCATGAAGAATAAGGACGCCTATGATCTGCTGTCCTGGGATCACTTCAGGGCTCTGTGTGCCTACACAGCGGGGGCCTACGACGACCTAAACCGAGCCGTCCGCAAGGGCAAGACCTCCTACAAAACCTCGTTTGAATTTCACGCCCTGCACTTCCTGCTGTCTGACGCCATCAGGCTCCTGAAGCTCAACCAAAGGAGCTGCTACACCACGTACCGCAGAAGCAAACTGGTCTTCAGCGGGGAACCTGGGCAAATCATCCGCTTCGGCTCCTTCGCTTCCAGCTCCCTCAACGAGGACTTGCACCAGTTTGGACGGAGGACCTGCTTTGAGATTCGCACATGTTACGGCGCCTACCTCAAGTCCTACTCAGAGTTCGACTCGGACGAGGATGAAGTTCTGATTCCTCCGTATGAGATGTTCAATATCGTCTCGGTTGACAATTCAGGAGAGAATCATTTGAACTGTGATAATTACTACCAGCTGGAGACTGCTGGGGTTTACAGCAGTCTCAACTGCCAGGCTGTGGACCTTTAAAAGATAACGCCTGTAACACTATAACTTAAAGTCATTTTTGTAACTACTGTCATTATAATCTGCAGTCCACATGTCAACACATTTACTATGTTTCACTGTAAATTCATTAAAGCATTGTTTTTACTGAAACTAAATGTTCATTCTTGACTTGGAAACAGAAGCTGACTGAATAATCTCCCCACCAAATCCTTTCAGCAGCTGATTCTTTGCCTGTAGATGATATCACATGATGCTCCCCTGCAGATAAAGTCCACTGCATGTTCATGAAATTGTAGCGGATTACTTTTTACCCACAATGCCGTATAAGCTGAAGTACAAAGTTTATGATCCTACAGAATAAAAGATGCTAAATATTGCAAAGTGTTGAAGAATTTAGGCACAATATTAATCTGGTTTAAACACTTCTTTGACTCACTTGCTTTTTGCTCGTGTAGCTAAATTTACTCATAAGCACACTTTTGTTGGGTTCTCACATTCAACAACACTTTCTCAGCTTTCAAGAGAAAAGAACGAAATATATGGAACAGCATGTCATTAAAAAAATAGGCGTGTTTTATGGTTTGTGCTACTTTTCTGCAAAAAAGCTCAGAAACCCGTTTAATATGCAACAGCTTTACAAACAAGGCAGAAAAATAGCTTCAAAAGCTCAAGTGTTTTACTTAGAAATGTGCACCTTGTACAAAAAAAATTGCAAAAGCTAGCTGAGTTGATTTTAAGAATACATCTCTACACTACATTTGTGATGAATGGCGTGAGAAGAAGCAGCACATCTGGCTGAAAACAGGCTCACAACTGCCAATTTCCCCTACGCTTCCTTGGAGAAAGAACCGTGCGAAACAAAATTAGGCATAAAAAGAGAAGTAAAGCGAGGCTGACTGACAACATCATGAGTATCGATTCACTTACCACAACTCTACGCTCCTCTGTTCCTCTGCAGATCTATCAACTTATACCTCTCAGTATTTGGAGCTGATTAAAATCAATCTCACTCTCTGCTTATTTCACTTCAATCAGTCTCTTCGATTTCAACATTTACTCAATAATTCATTTATTATTTGAACTTCAATGTGACAAAACATTTCATCAACACAGAAAAAAAATGTACAAACATGTAAACATGTTGATTTGAAATCTCATTATTGTCTTTCCAAAACAACTGCACCACTTCTTCAACATCACCACGGGAAATTTCTGGATTATAACGGCCGACTTCCTAACAGCTGATGGTATCAAATGTCATCCACAAGAAAATCAGTCTGGTGTCACATATTTGAGCCATTTCACAGCAACAAGAGGCCGAGCTGAGGTCTGTGCACTAGAATATATTCGTCTAATGATATTTGATGATAAATAGTTTTGGACTGTACTTTGGAAGACAAGATAGAAATCCATTAATCCACTAAAGTCACTACTTTTGCAGCAGACATAGTTGGCAACTCGCCTGAGATCACGGTGCACAAGTTTATGTGTTGATCCAGCACAGACAGAAATGTAACATGACCTGGACGGGTTAGTGATGTTTGTGGATCTGCAGTTTTTATTCAGTTAAAACGGCAGAAGTTGTGTCTTGTTTTGCGCCACAGTCACAAGACTTGTAACCCAAAACAGTAAAAATGTATAAGGCCACTACAGGTGATGTGAGCTGTAAGATTTCGGCATGGAATATGATGGCAAACACATCTGTAAGAAACAACATGAAATACTATAAAGGAATCCCCTTTTTCTAAATTTACATTTTTCTTCTTTTTCTCCTAATTGCTAGTATCTACTTCAGTCATTTCATTCCCACAATTCACTGTTTTACGCAAGACAGTATTTTCAAGTTTCACTACCGTGCCTTCCTCTATTTGCCGAATTCTGAGAGGAAGAAATGTTGCAAGCAATCTGCAAAAAGTTAGAGCTAAAAATATCTACAGCAATTTTGAGATGAGTTGATGTGAGTAACAGCATTTCAAAATAGAACTGATTACTGAACCTTCACATGATTTTGGCCCCTTGGATGTGATCAGGAAGGAGTGTTTTCATTAATTAACAAGAGGAAAAAAAAGAAACACTACTTGGTTTGGGAGAAGTGTGGTTACCTGAAGAAGCACCAAACATCTTGTCCGAGTCGACTGAGTCTGTAACAGTCAGTGTGTGAGAGTCTACATCTTCTCGTAGGTGAGTTCATGACCGCAGGTGGTGCAGGTTTTCTTGTAGAGGTCCTCCTCTGGATCCACCATCTCCTCTGGTCCGTACTGATGCTGGTGAGCGCTGGTGTTTTTGGTCCACATGCTGCTCCTCACTGCCCTGCGCAGCTCTGACACACACACTTGATGTTAATCACTGCACAGTGTCGGCGGTTTTTGCGAATGAGGATTTTGGCCCAACAGGAAAACCAACCTTTGACCTTCTTGTTGAAGCGTTTTTGTTTCTGCACCTCTCTGTTCTCCTCCCTCGTCTCTTTGGCTTCCTCTAGAGCCTCCTCTGAACCCCAAACCTCCAGACATCTCTTCTCCACCTGAAGAACACACACAAAGACATGTCAGATAGACTTAGTTATGCATTTATTAATCATTTCATCACTAATCAGAAGTGTTCATGAATCAATCATCATGCTTTTTAAATGTTTTTTTTGTATCTTCACACATTTATTGATCTTACAGAATTTTATTTAAACAATTAATAAACTTAACTGCAAAGTGAGGCTTGTTTTTGATCACTAATTGACATGATTACTGCTAGATAGGTTATATGTTGTTTTTTCTAATACATTCTGATGTAGAGGGTCACAATAGTCGTGAAAATAGTGACCGAGTATTAATTAAATGAAATCATAACGTATCATGCAACAAGGGAAATCAGAGAGATTATTACATTCCACATTTAATTTTTGCTTTTTTATCTCGTTTTAGAAACAAAGGACCCCAAGTGTCACAGAAAACACGAATGATAAAGCTAAAAGGAGAAGCTAAATGACTAAAAAACTACAAATAACATTTTTGAATTCAATTATTTATTTCTCATTATAAAATGCATATTTATTTTAAATTCCATTACGTATTTATGCATGAATTTACTAAAAAAAACAAACAAAAAAGAGTAAACTTAACAATAAATGTATGTATATATTTATGTATGCTGTATGTGGTGTAAAGTGATATTAACTCATCTGCACCTTTTTTTACTGAATTGTAATATTTAGCCGGTATTGCATAGTTTAGTGTTTACAGGAGCTACATGTTATTTAAAGTAAAAATAGTACATTTTGGATCACAATGAGTGGTCTGGATTCTTTGACCTTCAGTCAAAGGAGCCTTTTAGAATATAAAAAAAAACATAAGCATATTGCTACATGTAGAGTGGAAGGTTTGTGTGTGTGTGTGTGTGTGTGTGTGTGTGTGTGTGTGTCTCCCTCCACCTCTCTCTTGCAGGTGGTATTTGGAAGACTGGCTACACCTGTGAGTTCCTGCTTCTGCCACTTGTGAGCCCCTTGAAGAACAGATGATTGACTTGTGGTGGGAAGGTGAACAACTGAGGTAAGATTGGGCACCCTGTACACTTGCACACGTAGTTGACTTTTGTTACTGCACTAGGTTATGGGTCGGTGCCACTATTTGTTTTTCCATCATTAGTAGATAAGATAGCCACGCCTTTTGTTTTCCTTTTCTTTCTTTCCAGAAAGATCTGAGTCAGGCCCTGTTTTGTTAGATTTTATTTCTCTTATTTGGCACGACCCCACAGTTGACCATTCCCCCACATTTTTGAATCCTTGGTTTTGTTCGTTCATTAATTCAAAAACTTGTAAATAAAAGCTTTTTTCTTCGCTGCCATCCATTCCGCCTGTGAGTTCTTCCTTAATTGATGGTTAGTGTTATGTTACTGTTTGCGTCTTGAAAGCAGGAACGTAACAATGTCATAATCTCTGCTAAATGTTGATATTAGTCAATACAGGGACATTTATGTGAACCCCACTATCCACACACACACACACACACATATAATTAAAAGATGGATGTTTGGGTGTGTGTTTGCGTATCTGTAATTACTTTTTTATTAGATATATATTTCTTTTTAATTACTCTTTTACAGTTCTTACAGTCTTTGTTTTATTTTGACATGAATGTTGCACTGTTGGTTTGGCACTTTTTAATTTCGTTGTACTTGTTACAATGACAATAAAGATTCTGTTCTATCCACACACACACACACACACACACACACACACACACACACCTGTAGCTGGAGGTAGAGTTTCATGTCTCCCCATCGCGGGTTATGAGGGTTCTTCTTCAGTATGAACCTGAGAGGAGGCTCTCTCTTGTCCAGATCGCAGTCTTTCAGCAGGTAGCGCTGCTTGGCCTCCGTTCTGGAGATCAGCTTGTGTTTCTCGTCGTTATTTCTGAAAAGAAAAAAAAATCGTCTTCATCCGTCTGAGTAATTTTAAATCATAGAATTATTAAAACAAAAACAAAAAAAACTGTGAAGGTTACATGAGAAAGGATTTGAGGCTAAAAAATGGCCAGAAAATTACATGTTGAAGTCGAATAGTTAGAGGCGTTATATTGGACTTATCTTGTACTAATCGAAAAGTTTATTTTTTAATTCAATGAAGCACTTATTAATCTTCTAAAATGCATGTACATGCATATAAACGTTTATGCATACAAAACCAAAAAATGCTGAATACTGGCCCAGAAGTTTAAATAAAGGGATCGTGCAACAATTTCCCTGAGGTACCCTACCAAAGGGATCAATAAAGTTCTATCTAATCTAATCTATCTAATGCATAGGAGCTGTGGGTGCACTGCCACATAATAATGAGGACATGGTGCAACTTAAAGTTCCATATTGTGCTGCTTTTCAGCAATTTAATGTAAGTCTCACAGGTCCCTACAGTGTGTTTTTCAGTGTTACAGCTCAAAACACTGCACAGATGGTTCATTTTACCACAAACTCAGCTTGAGGAAAGGCAGAAGTCAACATCTTCACATCTTTAAAGCTTTTACTTTACAACTTCAAATTAATAACAACCACAAAAAAAACAATAAATATAGATTTTCCACATGTGGGAGCTTTAAGAGATGCCCTGATCCACTGACAGATGAATAACAAAGATGGTGCTGGTGAGTTTCTGTGACTGTAAAGGTATTCATTTGACCTATAACCTGCAGCTGTGTTTACCTGCACTTGTCACACACTGACAGGTCAAAGCTGTTGCTGAGGTAGGAGTCCATGAAGGGTTTCTGACAGTCATCACACAGCAGGTAATCTGGTTCAATCACTGGAGCTGGAACCACAACACACATAGTACTGAAAACCCAGCATGGATGCAGACAAACACAAACACTGTGGTCGGGGACACACACCTGGCTGGTGCACCACCTTCCTGGCCTGCTGCTCCGCCTCTCCGTCCTCCTCCTCCTCGATGAAGAAGCCGGCACCGGAGTCAATGGTTTTGGAAACTTTGGCCGAAGTAGCGCCGTCCACTGCGGACAAAGGGCGACTCGCGAGTCGGGCTTGTCGGAGCATCAACGCCCGCTGCCGGTTCCTCTCGATCTTAGCCCGCATCGCCGCAGAAAGCTCCGGCTTGGGGCTCTGCTCTGGGCCGGGGGCAGCAGCGTCCACTCCGACTGACTCTGGAGGCTCCATGCTGCTGCTTAAACAGAGCGACGAGTAAAATTACAACTCCGTGTTTAGCTCGGTTTGGTTCCATACAAACAGCGGCGTTGGACTGTTACAAAAGTGACAGCTCCGTGCTTCCGGTGTCGTCTTCTTCGTCTCCTTTAATTAAACTGAAGTGTCGCAGAAGCTTTGCTGCCACCTGTCGGTCCACAGCGTGAATTACCAGCTAATGATGTGCCACTTGACAAGAAGTAGTCTTTTTTTTTTTAAATAATAATAAATTTCTGCACCTATATGGAAACAGAGCAACCATGGCTGGAAATAGAGTAAACTGTTCTCTAAAAAAAAGTAGAAGAAGAAGTTATAATTCCATAATTCTTCTTCTTCTTTCTTTCTTTTTTTTTTTTTTTTTAAACTGACAATCAAAAGCTGAATTTCTTAGATTTTTTTTTATTTGACAAAAATTGAAAAAAAAAAAGAAAGAAGGAGTTTCCATTAAAAAATAATTATACAAATGTCCGAAGATCTTTGCTATTAACTCTGAAGTTAAAAGAGAATCATTAAGTTGCACTGATTACATAAGATCTAGTTTAGCTTCCCTGTTTTTTTTACACTGAGAATGCTCTTAAGATGTTAAGAAATTAGGGGGTTCTACATACTGTAGACATTTTACTTCTTGCATTTTTCATTGGCCTTACCTGACTCCTCCCTGCTCCTGGGGTCAGGACACGGCCTGCAGTTCAACCCAGGTTACCTGAAAACTCTCTGAATTTTTGTCACATCACTGTTAGTCACAGCTGAGTTAGTCATAGCTTCACAGTTGCACAGATTAGTGCAGAATTTTTTGTTTATTCAGAATCTGATGAAAGCAAACTGTTTATTTTTGGCATTTAAAAAAAGAGAGATGTTTAGGATAACAATGAAATATCACAGTTTTCAGCTTAGATCAACACAACAAATCATATGACCACGCTCTGACAGAATGCAAAAAATCTAACAGTTCATTTTTTAGCCTTTAGAGCATTAACCTGACAGAAGTCGCATAAAGTCGTTGGATGATTAGTTTCCTGTTATTTGTTGTTGTTGTTGTTTTCTCTGTAATCCAGAAGGAGCTTGAAGCAGAGCTTATGGTTGTTTTGAAGGAGATAGTTAAAGTGTACACAGGGTCGCTTCTCTCTGCTCAAGCAGATGGATGCCTTCCATTGGAGGTGTCTTTGTGTATGTTCTCATGTCAAACTTGGCAACCCTGGGGCAGATCCAGCATATGCTATTGGGTGATATTTCATCTGAAACCTTGAAACACATCAGGACCCTCGAGGAGGAGCTACAAAATGTAGATAAGGCAAAGAACATCTGGACTACCTAGTTTATCTTCCTTGGTTAGAAGTAGTTAGCTATACAGTGCCATTCTGTGTTGGTCTTACTTAGAGAAAAGAGTCTAAAGCTATTTATGCAAAGTGTAAAGTTAGTATGACTCATCATCAGAACATCCACTGTTAATAAGCATTTTTTAAAAATACCATAACCGTCCATAAAAGGCTTTATCTTTACTTGTAGCTGCATGTGTCCAGCTAAAACATTCAAAACTCGCAGTGGGGGGAGGGTTTTACTTCACTTCCACATTTTTTCCTTTTCATTCATGTAATATTAAGAGTTCAGAGGACTCATTGTGACATTTTCACAGGAGAAAATGACTGACACAGGCGCTTGCTAAAGACATGTGAACTCATCTGAGACCGCTGCTTGCTTGCTTGTTTGGTTGGCAGACAGGTACAGTGTAGTCAGCAAATGTCCTCAGAGGTCACGGATGCAGATATAAAGTAGACAGGTGATTACGTCCTTTATTTGCTGTCCTCACGTATCAAGTTAATCCCTGTTGCGTCCCGCTGATCGTGGCAGCCGGCCACACATGCTTCTGTAAGAGGCTTGTATCAAAGTAAAGCAGATGCCAGCCGGATAGATGACACTGCAAATCTGATCGGTGTTATGAGGAGGCTTGAGAGGTAAAGTGAGCTGACTTTTTAAAGCGCTCCCTAAGATTTAAAGCATCTATACCGCAGTCTGGATCCAAAGCAGCAGATGTACTGTGGTTGAGTTTAATCGGTCAGTCGGGGGAACTCTGTCTGTTTCTGAACTCTCAAAAAAAAAAAAAAAAGAAAATGTCAATGTTGAAAATTTGAGTTTTCATTTATTTGAACATATAACACTTTATACAGAGTTGAAAGATATATGTTTTTACAGTATAATACATGATTCAAGTAGTACGTGAATATGATTCCATACTTGCATAATATATACGGGAAATATAAAACCACTTTACCATTTGTCATGGTGTTGGAACTGGTGGAGGGGGGGATTCTTGTGAATGTTCCTAAATTCACTCACTCATACGCACATTCCTCACATTCAGATGATCCATCACAGCAAGAAAAAAAGTTTACAAGTGATACTGCATAGAGGCTAAATCCAAACAGGAGTCTGGGGAAGTAAATTGTGCTGGATTTTATAAACTACTGTATGTATTGACTAAAGCCACATACAGGAGCTTATATTCACACAATTTATAAATTTCTTTATACATAGCAACACACGATAAAACACACATTTTAACAGTGGGAATTAGCTGGAGTCTGTTTTATGGAAATTTTTATATTCATATGGAAAACAAATATGAAAACATAAAAAAGTGGTTGGGTTAAATATGATTTTTAACCCGTTGTGAGTGTATAACTGATATTCTCGTGGCTATCTAGACAGGAAACTTAGATCCAGGTAGCTAAAAAAAAAAAAGTTATATAAGCCTATATTTAAAATGAAAAAGAAACACAAATGCAGATTTATACCTGAGTAAAACTGAATGTTTCCATGACCAAGTTTTCCTTCCATTGTTAGCAAACTGATTGTAAAAAAAAAAAAATCATCTAAAAGTGTTTTAAACAGGACACCGTCTTTTGCATACTTTCCGTGTTGTTTTTAGGTTTGCACTGGAACATTTTGACTGAAATTCCTACAACTTCTGCACTTGTAGAGATAAAAAGCAAAAGAAGGTGTACCTTTCTCCATTTATTTCTCCAAAACTGATCAAAACTTTTGCCCACATTTCGTTCTACTTCATAGATTTGACAGAGAAAGCAGGAAACATGAATGATCAACTTGCACCACTGCATTAAAAAAAAAAAAACATGAACTGATCATTACTGGGTCATATTTGATGTCTTTTTCTGCCTAGAGACCAACGTTTCTAAAATAAGATGCTGTTTTTCTGAACATTTGGAGCACTAAAAGCTATCAGACTGTTTGATTCTCTGTGTATATGAGGGCAGTCTGGCAGTTCAGCAGCAACAACTGATGAGCACGAGATGGACAACGTGGACACTGACTGCAGCAAGGCCTTAAGTGGGTCCCTAAATCTGCTTCACCTGTTTTTATTTGCAGTTTGGGAACAACACCAAATGAAACCCCCCCTCCCAAAAAAAACAAACAAGAAACATACACATTTCTCGAAATCAGAGAGAAGATGCAATTATAGCAAAGGGTGTTTCTGAATTACGGATACATCTTTATTGTATTATTGTGGCAACCTCTTTAGAATATTTGCATTACTTTTAATTAAACATCTTTATTTCCCTTTTTGATAAATTTACATAATATTTGAATGGAAACACGACCACAGAAGGATGCTAGTGATGTAAAATCGCATGTTTTTCCTGCTCAGCATTGTTTTGCTAGCTGATAAAAAATGGAAATAACACAATAACGTGTCATTTCTTACAGTACGTCAGTTGTTTTACACCAAAACATTACAGGAGAAACTCAGTGATACCTGTCGATACCAAACTGTCCTTTTTAGAAACACATAATTTGAAAAAAAAAACAAAAAACCTTTAAGTTTTAGCAAGTAAAATACAACAGAGAACACTAATCTTTAGTCCACCGCTTGTTGTCCAAGCTGCATCATCAGGAGACTGAAGTAACCCGCTCTAAAGTGGTGCATGTAAAGGCAGCCAGAACAGAAAAAGTCATGTTCTCAAGCTTATTGTGTGAAAAACCCCCAAATGAGCATTATATAAAGATATAAGCGAACCTGTTTAACCAGCTTAATACTACATATTTAGCATTAAATGCATCCTATTACAGATATTTATGAATGGGAGTTACAGCATCATTACAATTTGTGCCAAATATGACCTCAGATGTTAAACTGTATTTGAAAACACACTCAGATTATTAACACTGAATATTTCTCTTTTCATGCCTGTGGTGGAATGGACACGGTTTAAAATCTAAACACCTACAAAGCAGCTATCACACTTATGTGTCGTCTCAGCCCTTTCTTTTTTTTTTTCCTGTGACATGATTTCTTTGATCTCTCCAGAGCTCCGCTGGCGTTCGAAACAAAAAAAAATAAAATAAAATTAGTCTCTTTGAGCCCGTTATATTCAGTTTATCTGCTTGTCTTGGCTGCTTCCATGAGTGGTGGAGGGTCTTCTTAAACGACCGCACGGTCCCTCAGTTGAAAAAGCCCCAAAGCAAACAAAGAAATAATATCTTTTGATTGATATTTCCATCCCGGATTTCCATTCACTGTCCATCAGCAGGTTTCAACCAATAGTGGCAAATGAATGTAGTCACATGGTACAACGAGAGTCTTTCTCATGAGGTGGCATAAAGTCTGTGAAATAGGCTCGAATCTGCAAGGCTGATTTACTTCATGGCCTCTGTCTAACTGACATCAACAACTTGTGTGTGTGTGTGTGTGTGTGTGTGTGTGGTGTGTATTTGTACGTCTGTGTGCGCAGTCCTCTATGGTGTGTATGTGAGACAGATATGAGAAAGTTTGTGCCACGTTTTGCACTCCTATAAGAAATCATGGTTGACACGAGCACAGTTGTGTTTCGCTTCCGTCTGTCAGCGAGGATTCATCAGACGGTGACGGGACAGACGATGATTTTGTCCTCCAGCATGACGCTGACGATGAGGAAGACGAAGTAGAGCAGGAACATGAGGAAGCCCAAGAACTTGCTCATTCTCCACTTGCAAGCCGCGATGGAGATGATGACGAAGAGGAGCATGAGGAAGAGCAGGACGATGGCGCAGAACAGGCCGTTGCTGCTCACCTCCACCGGCTTGAAGTCGTTGATGATGTTGTAGATGAGCCAGGGGAACGGCAGACTGGAGGGTAGAGGAGGGGAATGTTATTGTCATTTTAAAAAAAAAACAGATGGATATGACAGTGTGTGTGTTTGTTAGTGGACTCACCCCACGGTGATGTCAAAGATGTTGGAGCCCACCGAGCTGGACACGGCCATGTCACCGAGGCCTTTTCGTGCTACGATCACACTGGTGATGAGGTCAGGGATTGAAGTTCCAGCTGCTAATATGGTCAAACCCATGATCTCCTCTGTGATCCAGAAAGTCTCTCCAACCTGGGATGATGAAAAGGCAAAATTCAGAAAGTTAGAAAAGCAGGAAACAAAACATCATCATCTCGCTGTCTAGTTGCCCGTTTTGCTTGCACAGTTTTTTTTTTGTCTTAGACTTTTTCCAGCATCAAAGGTGTGATTCATTCATCTACTGTTACTTTACAGTAAATGGAGTTCAGTGAGGTGGTGGAGCCTCACAGAAAGAGGATGCAGATCATTTATGTGGCAAGTTATCGCCAATATTCGTCTTGTTTTATAAATAATATTTCCTTGTTTGGAGGGTATTTTTGTACTTATGGCAGCCCAAATAGCACAAGCGGCATTGAAGGAAAGATGAAAGGATGAAACTCCTACAAGTTTTTTGTCTAAATTTGTCATGCTGTCATTGTGTCATGTCTTTACTTTAAATGCTACTATTTGTGCTTTAGCCTACAAAGGAGCAAACAACAATTATTATGCAGATTGTTGTTTTAAAAATATGTTTTATTATATTTATGAGATAGTTTGGTGCTGCTACTGCATGAATACTAAAATTTCTTTTTCTCTCTTTTTCTTTTAAAGTTCTCAATGTGAAAAAAAAATCTGTAATTTTATGTAATCTTTCCTTTTTATTTTAATTGGTTTTCTTATTTTAAATAAAATGTTTGATTACTATACATTCAGAAATGTTCCAAAATTTGTCATAATTTCACAAATATTGCCTTTTTATTTAACAGACAAAGCTGTTCATTTCAATAAGATTTTTGTTTTTTAATGACATTATCAGACTTTCAATATATCCAGCATTTCATTCCAACAAGATTGATTGCATGCCTTGAATGCTCTCTAAATCTTGAGGAGTTGAGCAGCCAGCTTCATCAGAGCTCTCCACAAACTAAAAACACATGTGCATTTTCTCCGTGACCTTGTGCTTCAGTCCTGTCTTCGCATTTGCGTTGTTAAGATAGAGCATTACAGGTTGATCTGGCAGCAGATCAAGGCAGATTAGTTGGGATTAGCTGCCATGGTCACACATTCAACACCCTGACGGCTGCTCTCCGATGACAGAGGCCACACAAAGAGCAGCGAGCGCACAACAGAACTTGGTGTAAGTGACAAACAATCAGATTTTGAGGTAGGAGCGTGGGCTGGTTACCTGGTGAGCCCACCACACCATCAGGTAGGAGAAGAAAGCAATCCAACAGATGGAGCCGAGGAAAGTGATGGGGAAGAACCTTTCTGAGGTCTGAAAAAATTAAAAAAAATTGTTTCAGCTCAGCCAAGAACCTTCAAATTGTACATAGAGTATATTGTTCAATGCAGTGTTTTGTGTTTAGAAAGACATAAATCACAATGTTAAGCTTCCATCATGGACAATAACACATGTATGAGTAACTGAATGTACAGAAAAAGCACACTAACAGGGCATATAAGCACAAGAATCAATGCATTTCATAGACAGCGCTGTAATATATTATGAAGCATTATGTTTTTCAGTGCACACGAACATGCTTGAGGATCCTGTACATGCAAATGTGTTTTAATTGTGTGTGCTCACCTCTCTCCTGACGTCAGGCAGCGTGAGCCAAAGAGGAAAGACTATGGGCAAGATAAAGAGGTATGTGAGCCGTTTCCTGGTGGTGTCGGGCCAGGCCAGGCTCAGAGGCTGGTCTTCATCTTCCTCTTCGTCGCCATCCTGAGAAGGAGTTCGTTACTTTGCATTGTGTAGTGCACACACATATAATATGTGGACTTTATGTTCCGAGGTGGAGTTTTCACTATATTTGTGCATCTCTAAAGTGCTGGATTAAGATTTGGAAAGTATATTTTGTGCGCAAGGTCGTACCTCGTCTCCTCCTGCAACACCGTTCATGGGCGGCGTGACTTCTACGGCCACATTCGAACTGTTGGGGATGTTTTTATCAGCTGGGGCTGAAAGGACGCAACAGAGACAGAAGAGTTTGAATGAGTCTTTCACATGAAGAGTGTTAATTTAAAATAGAAATGGTGATCTAATGGCATCTAGAAATAAGGTGAAACTTCCCTACATTTTGAATTTCCCATAGGATGTGTCTAGGGAAGAGCTTTCCTGATATTGTTAAATTTCTGAGCTCATCTTTGCAGGAGCAGCTTCAGCCCTTACAGACAACTCAAACACTGATAAACTATAGATAGATTAACCTACAACTTGCTAAAAATGATTTTATGTAAATTACCAATGTGTCTTGTACTTTTACTACAATCATAACATATAAAAAAGTGCATTTTAGGGAATTAAGTGATTACTTCAGTCTGTTTCTGGAAGATAAGTGTCAGCAGGGCATACGATAAAACTAAAGAAAGCAAATAAAACACACACATATATATATTTATAGTCTTCTCATAATATTAGAAGGATAATTTCAGTTTTACTGCTTTTATGATCTTGATTCTTTTATTTTATAACCTGCCCGTTGTCCATTATTTTTTCTTATCTTATTCTCATCTATTTTTTTTTAACTGATTGCTGACTTGATCATTGATCCATCACTTGATTTATCAGCTGATCATCATAGTTTCACACATCGCTGTTACTCACCTACACCGTTGGCACTGGCACCTTCTTCTTTACACTTCTTCTTGGCCATTTTGTGGAGGATAGACGCCTTCTCTTTGAAACGCCCTAAAAACAAAGGAGACAGACATTTCAAAAAGTCCAACATGTGGCAGGACAACATGTAAAGAACACAAATGTAGTTGGGTGATTATGAAATACTCAGACGTGTGTGTGGAAGGGGGGTTGCATTAGAGGGTGTGCTCACCTTCACCTGAAAGAACCCAGATTGACAAAAATCAGTTTGATAGCCGATAAAAGAACATTGCACATCCCAAACCCTAATCACAACATTCACCAAAACTGATACATTTTATGAAACCAATAACTGCTAATTAATATTTACACAAGTAGATATTAGCTGTGGTGTCACATAGTCTACAAGTGAAGGAATATAATGATGACATCGTCTGTGAGTTACGTGTTGTGTATTATTGTTGTGTAATATTTAAAAATGATTCAGACTTCTTTACTGCATGTGTGCGTTCAGTCGATGTTGTTGCTCACTCGTACCTTCATCACTGAGGGGGTCCAGAGTGTGAATCATGAGCTGGAAGATGCTGTTTCTCATCAGCGAGTTGTGCAGAGAAGCACAGCTGCCTTCCCTCTGCAGTCTGGGTTTAGCCTGAACAAAGTCAGACATGAATCCCAAAATGTTAGTCATGGATGCAGATGCTATGAATATGTACATCTGTATGTTGCTCATCATTTTTATTTATTCATTTATCACCTTATGCTACTTTACTAACTTCCAAGCTGTTGTCAAGTTATGAGAATGTGTTTAAAAATCCTGATAATCAATTCGATTCAAACCATTTGTTGTCAAAGCCTCCTTTTCGGTGCAGCTCAAACCTTTTGAATCTCATTTGGGAAACAGATAGCGCATTGTGCTTGCAGTATACCTTCAGCAACACAAAAACAAGACAAAACACACTCACCGTCAGCTTGTTCTCATCATCTCCAGGTTCATTCACCTTCAGGAAAAAACAGAGAAAGAAATCATAATATACACTGTGTAACTGTGTACTCTATGAATTCTAATACAGATATTATTACATTAGCTTTTACATTTTATTTAATTATTTTCCAGGTTGCCTTTTTCGACATTTACCTTCAAGCTGCATTGCTCACATTATGGGGTGGGGAGGGAATAAGAAAAAGTCATATAATGCAGGTAAGATCCATAACAATGGGCTCCATGGAGGCAGAGCTGTGATGCTTTTGCACTGAGGATGCTTCGAATTCAAGCTAAGAAGTCTGTGTTCAACTGTTTACATTCTGTCAACTTAACGTAACCGCAGTTAAACATTAAAAACGAGCCGCTTGAATTTATAATACAGACTTGTTCTCGGCTATTTTGGCAAGTAAGAGAAATACGATGAATGTGGAAGCAATGAAGGAGCAGGCAGGGAGTGGAGTTACTGGCATGGTTCTGTGCAACGATGACTTTTTTGTTTTAAAAAAAAAAAAATCCAAGTTTTGAATTCTTTTCTGGATCAAGTATACGTTTAAATTCTCCCTGACAGAAAAGAGCGATTAGGAAAGCAATGATCAAGTCATGATACAAACAGGGGAAAAGTGATAAATATTGACCTGTGGTGAGTGGACTTTTTAATGATCCAAAATTATTCTTGTTTTTCTATTTTAGCAAGACCAGCCGGCCAGTTCACTTTAGTTATATAGTAAACCTTCATTTGTTCATGTCCAGTGTGTGTGTGTGTTACATCATCGCCTCCTCCTTCTTTACTCCTCCTCACAGTGGGAAGGAACCAGTGCCAGAAGTTTCAGGCTCTGTTCCAACATGAACACACACACAGACACNAAGATTTAAAGCATCTATACCGCAGTCTGGATCCAAAGCAGCAGATGTACTGTGGTTGAGTTTAATCGGTCAGTCGGGGGAACTCTGTCTGTTTCTGAACTCTCAAAAAAAAAAAAAAAAGAAAATGTCAATGTTGAAAATTTGAGTTTTCATTTATTTGAACATATAACACTTTATACAGAGTTGAAAGATATATGTTTTTACAGTATAATACATGATTCAAGTAGTACGTGAATATGATTCCATACTTGCATAATATATACGGGAAATATAAAACCACTTTACCATTTGTCATGGTGTTGGAACTGGTGGAGGGGGGGATTCTTGTGAATGTTCCTAAATTCACTCACTCATACGCACATTCCTCACATTCAGATGATCCATCACAGCAAGAAAAAAAGTTTACAAGTGATACTGCATAGAGGCTAAATCCAAACAGGAGTCTGGGGAAGTAAATTGTGCTGGATTTTATAAACTACTGTATGTATTGACTAAAGCCACATACAGGAGCTTATATTCACACAATTTATAAATTTCTTTATACATAGCAACACACGATAAAACACACATTTTAACAGTGGGAATTAGCTGGAGTCTGTTTTATGGAAATTTTTATATTCATATGGAAAACAAATATGAAAACATAAAAAAGTGGTTGGGTTAAATATGATTTTTAACCCGTTGTGAGTGTATAACTTGATATTCTCGTGGCTATCTAGACAGGAAACTTAGATCCAGGTAGCTAAAAAAAAAAAAGTTATATAAGCCTATATTTAAAATGAAAAAGAAACACAAATGCAGATTTATACCTGAGTAAAAGTGAATGTTTCCATGACCAAGTTTTCCTTCCATTGTTAGCAAACTGATTGTAAAAAAAAAAAAATCATCTAAAAGTGTTTTAAACAGGACACCGTCTTTTGCATACTTTCCGTGTTGTTTTTAGGTTTGCACTGGAACATTTTGACTGAAATTCCTACAACTTCTGCACTTGTAGAGATAAAAAGCAAAAGAAGGTGTACCTTTCTCCATTTATTTCTCCAAAACTGATCAAAACTTTTGCCCACATTTCGTTCTACTTCATAGATTTGACAGAGAAAGCAGGAAACATGAATGATCAACTTGCACCACTGCATTAAAAAAAAAAAAACATGAACTGATCATTACTGGGTCATATTTGATGTCTTTTTCTGCCTAGAGACCAACGTTTCTAAAATAAGATGCTGTTTTTTCTGAACATTTGGAGCACTAAAAGCTATCAGACTGTTTGATTCTCTGTGTATATGAGGGCAGTCTGGCAGTTCAGCAGCAACAACTGATGAGCACGAGATGGACAACGTGGACACTGACTGCAGCAAGGCCTTAAGTGGGTCCCTAAATCTGCTTCACCTGTTTTTATTTGCAGTTTGGGAACAACACCAAATGAAACCCCCCCTCCCAAAAAAAACAAACAAGAAACATACACATTTCTCGAAATCAGAGAGAAGATGCAATTATAGCAAAGGGTGTTTCTGAATTACGGATACATCTTTATTGTATTATTGCTGCAACCTCTTTAGAATATTTGCATTACTTTTAATTAAACATCTTTATTTCCCTTTTTGATAAATTTACATAATATTTGAATGGAAACACGACCACAGAAGGATGCTAGTGATGTAAAATCGCATGTTTTTCCTGCTCAGCATTGTTTTGCTAGCTGATAAAAAATGGAAATAACACAATAACGTGTCATTTCTTACAGTACGTCAGTTGTTTTACACCAAAACATTACAGGAGAAACTCAGTGATACCTGTCGATACCAAACTGTCCTTTTTAGAAACACATAATTTGAAAAAAAAAACAAAAAACCTTTAAGTTTTAGCAAGTAAAATACAACAGAGAACACTAATCTTTAGTCCACCGCTTGTTGTCCAAGCTGCATCATCAGGAGACTGAAGTAACCCGCTCTAAAGTGGTGCATGTAAAGGCAGCCAGAACAGAAAAAGTCATGTTCTCAAGCTTATTGTGTGAAAAACCCCCAAATGAGCATTATATAAAGATATAAGCGAACCTGTTTAACCAGCTTAATACTACATATTTAGCATTAAATGCATCCTATTACAGATATTTATGAATGGGAGTTACAGCATCATTACAATTTGTGCCAAATATGACCTCAGATGTTAAACTGTATTTGAAAACACACTCAGATTATTAACACTGAATATTTCTCTTTTCATGCCTGTGGTGGAATGGACACGGTTTAAAATCTAAACACCTACAAAGCAGCTATCACACTTATGTGTCGTCTCAGCCCTTTCTTTTTTTTTTTCCTGTGACATGATTTCTTTGATCTCTCCAGAGCTCCGCTGGCGTTCGAAACAAAAAAAAATAAAATAAAATTAGTCTCTTTGAGCCCGTTATATTCAGTTTATCTGCTTGTCTTGGCTGCTTCCATGAGTGGTGGAGGGTCTTCTTAAACGACCGCACGGTCCCTCAGTTGAAAAAGCCCCAAAGCAAACAAAGAAATAATATCTTTTGATTGATATTTCCATCCCGGATTTCCATTCACTGTCCATCAGCAGGTTTCAACCAATAGTGGCAAATGAATGTAGTCACATGGTACAACGAGAGTCTTTCTCATGAGGTGGCATAAAGTCTGTGAAATAGGCTCGAATCTGCAAGGCTGATTTACTTCATGGCCTCTGTCTAACTGACATCAACAACTTGTGTGTGTGTGTGTGTGTGTGTGTGTGTGGTGTGTATTTGTACGTCTGTGTGCGCAGTCCTCTATGGTGTGTATGTGAGACAGATATGAGAAAGTTTGTGCCACGTTTTGCACTCCTATAAGAAATCATGGTTGACACGAGCACAGTTGTGTTTCGCTTCCGTCTGTCAGCGAGGATTCATCAGACGGTGACGGGACAGACGATGATTTTGTCCTCCAGCATGACGCTGACGATGAGGAAGACGAAGTAGAGCAGGAACATGAGGAAGCCCAAGAACTTGCTCATTCTCCACTTGCAAGCCGCGATGGAGATGATGACGAAGAGGAGCATGAGGAAGAGCAGGACGATGGCGCAGAACAGGCCGTTGCTGCTCACCTCCACCGGCTTGAAGTCGTTGATGATGTTGTAGATGAGCCAGGGGAACGGCAGACTGGAGGGTAGAGGAGGGGAATGTTATTGTCATTTTAAAAAAAAAACAGATGGATATGACAGTGTGTGTGTTTGTTAGTGGACTCACCCCACGGTGATGTCAAAGATGTTGGAGCCCACCGAGCTGGACACGGCCATGTCACCGAGGCCTTTTCGTGCTACGATCACACTGGTGATGAGGTCAGGGATTGAAGTTCCAGCTGCTAATATGGTCAAACCCATGATCTCCTCTGTGATCCAGAAAGTCTCTCCAACCTGGGATGATGAAAAGGCAAAATTCAGAAAGTTAGAAAAGCAGGAAACAAAACATCATCATCTCGCTGTCTAGTTGCCCGTTTTGCTTGCACAGTTTTTTTTTTGTCTTAGACTTTTTCCAGCATCAAAGGTGTGATTCATTCATCTACTGTTACTTTACAGTAAATGGAGTTCAGTGAGGTGGTGGAGCCTCACAGAAAGAGGATGCAGATCATTTATGTGGCAAGTTATCGCCAATATTCGTCTTGTTTTATAAATAATATTTCCTTGTTTGGAGGGTATTTTTGTACTTATGGCAGCCCAAATAGCACACGCTGCATTGAAGGAAAGATGAAAGGATGAAACTCCTACAAGTTTTTTGTCTAAATTTGTCATGCTGTCATTGTGTCATGTCTTTACTTTAAATGCTACTATTTGTGCTTTAGCCTACAAAGGAGCAAACAACAATTATTATGCAGATTGTTGTTTTAAAAATATGTTTTATTATATTTATGAGATAGTTTGGTGCTGCTACTGCATGAATACTAAAATTTCTTTTTCTCTCTTTTTCTTTTAAAGTTCTCAATGTGAAAAAAAAATCTGTAATTTTATGTAATCTTTCCTTTTTATTTTAATTGGTTTTCTTATTTTAAATAAAATGTTTGATTACTATACATTCAGAAATGTTCCAAAATTTGTCATAATTTCACAAATATTGCCTTTTTATTTAACAGACAAAGCTGTTCATTTCAATAAGATTTTTGTTTTTTAATGACATTATCAGACTTTCAATATATCCAGCATTTCATTCCAACAAGATTGATTGCATGCCTTGAATGCTCTCTAAATCTTGAGGAGTTGAGCAGCCAGCTTCATCAGAGCTCTCCACAAACTAAAAACACATGTGCATTTTCTCCGTGACCTTGTGCTTCAGTCCTGTCTTCGCATTTGCGTTGTTAAGATAGAGCATTACAGGTTGATCTGGCAGCAGATCAAGGCAGATTAGTTGGGATTAGCTGCCATGGTCACACATTCAACACCCTGACGGCTGCTCTCCGATGACAGAGGCCACACAAAGAGCAGCGAGCGCACAACAGAACTTGGTGTAAGTGACAAACAATCAGATTTTGAGGTAGGAGCGTGGGCTGGTTACCTGGTGAGCCCACCACACCATCAGGTAGGAGAAGAAAGCAATCCAACAGATGGAGCCGAGGAAAGTGATGGGGAAGAACCTTTCTGAGGTCTGAAAAAATTAAAAAAAATTGTTTCAGCTCAGCCAAGAACCTTCAAATTGTACATAGAGTATATTGTTCAATGCAGTGTTTTGTGTTTAGAAAGACATAAATCACAATGTTAAGCTTCCATCATGGACAATAACACATGTATGAGTAACTGAATGTACAGAAAAAGCACACTAACAGGGCATATAAGCACAAGAATCAATGCATTTCATAGACAGCGCTGTAATATATTATGAAGCATTATGTTTTTCAGTGCACACGAACATGCTTGAGGATCCTGTACATGCAAATGTGTTTTAATTGTGTGTGCTCACCTCTCTCCTGACGTCAGGCAGCGTGAGCCAAAGAGGAAAGACTATGGGCAAGATAAAGAGGTATGTGAGCCGTTTCCTGGTGGTGTCGGGCCAGGCCAGGCTCAGAGGCTGGTCTTCATCTTCCTCTTCGTCGCCATCCTGAGAAGGAGTTCGTTACTTTGCATTGTGTAGTGCACACACATATAATATGTGGACTTTATGTTCCGAGGTGGAGTTTTCACTATATTTGTGCATCTCTAAAGTGCTGGATTAAGATTTGGAAAGTATATTTTGTGCGCAAGGTCGTACCTCGTCTCCTCCTGCAACACCGTTCATGGGCGGCGTGACTTCTACGGCCACATTCGAACTGTTGGGGATGTTTTTATCAGCTGGGGCTGAAAGGACGCAACAGAGACAGAAGAGTTTGAATGAGTCTTTCACATGAAGAGTGTTAATTTAAAATAGAAATGGTGATCTAATGGCATCTAGAAATAAGGTGAAACTTCCCTACATTTTGAATTTCCCATAGGATGTGTCTAGGGAAGAGCTTTCCTGATATTGTTAAATTTCTGAGCTCATCTTTGCAGGAGCAGCTTCAGCCCTTACAGACAACTCAAACACTGATAAACTATAGATAGATTAACCTACAACTTGCTAAAAATGATTTTATGTAAATTACCAATGTGTCTTGTACTTTTACTACAATCATAACATATAAAAAAGTGCATTTTAGGGAATTAAGTGATTACTTCAGTCTGTTTCTGGAAGATAAGTGTCAGCAGGGCATACGATAAAACTAAAGAAAGCAAATAAAACACACACATATATATATTTATAGTCTTCTCATAATATTAGAAGGATAATTTCAGTTTTACTGCTTTTATGATCTTGATTCTTTTATTTTATAACCTGCCCGTTGTCCATTATTTTTTCTTATCTTATTCTCATCTATTTTTTTTTAACTGATTGCTGACTTGATCATTGATCCATCACTTGATTTATCAGCTGATCATCATAGTTTCACACATCGCTGTTACTCACCTACACCGTTGGCACTGGCACCTTCTTCTTTACACTTCTTCTTGGCCATTTTGTGGAGGATAGACGCCTTCTCTTTGAAACGCCCTAAAAACAAAGGAGACAGACATTTCAAAAAGTCCAACATGTGGCAGGACAACATGTAAAGAACACAAATGTAGTTAGGTGATTATGAAATACTCAGACGTGTGTGTGGAAGGGGGGTTGCATTAGAGGGTGTGCTCACCTTCACCTGAAAGAACCCAGATTGACAAAAATCAGTTTGATAGCCGATAAAAGAACATTGCACATCCCAAACCCTAATCACAACATTCACCAAAACTGATACATTTTATGAAACCAATAACTGCTAATTAATATTTACACAAGTAGATATTAGCTGTGGTGTCACATAGTCTACAAGTGAAGGAATATAATGATGACATCGTCTGTGAGTTACGTGTTGTGTATTATTGTTGTGTAATATTTAAAAATGATTCAGACTTCTTTACTGCATGTGTGCGTTCAGTCGATGTTGTTGCTCACTCGTACCTTCGTCACTGAGGGGGTCCAGAGTGTGAATCATGAGCTGGAAGATGCTGTTTCTCATCAGCGAGTTGTGCAGAGAAGCACAGCTGCCTTCCCTCTGCAGTCTGGGTTTAGCCTGAACAAAGTCAGACATGAATCCCAAAATGTTAGACATGGATGCAGATGCTATGAATATGTACATCTGTATGTTGCTCATCATTTTTATTTATTCATTTATCACCTTATGCTACTTTACTAACTTCCAAGCTGTTGTCAAGTTATGAGAATGTGTTTAAAAATCCTGATAATCAATTCGATTCAAACCATTTGTTGTCAAAACCTCCTTTTCGGTGCAGCTCAAACCTTTTGAATCTCATTTGGGAAACAGATAGCGCATTGTGCTTGCAGTATACCTTCAGCAACACAAAAACAAGACAAAACACACTCACTGTCAGCTTGTTCTCATCATCTCCAGGTTCATTCACCTTCAGGAAAAAACAGAGAAAGAAATCATAATATACACTGTGTAACTGTGTACTCTATGAATTCTAATACAGATATTATTACATTAGCTTTTACATTTTATTTAATTATTTTCCAGGTTGCCTTTTTCGACATTTACCTTCAAGCTGCATTGCTCACATTATGGGGTGGGGAGGGAATAAGAAAAAGTCATATAATGCAGGTAAGATCCATAACAATGGGCTCCATGGAGGCAGAGCTGTGATGCTTTTGCACTGAGGATGCTTCGAATTCAAGCTAAGAAGTCTGTGTTCAACTGTTTACATTCTGTCAACTTAACGTAACCGCAGTTAAACATTAAAAACGAGCCGCTTGAATTTATAATACAGACTTGTTCTCGGCTATTTTGGCAAGTAAGAGAAATACGATGAATGTGGAAGCAATGAAGGAGCAGGCAGGGAGTGGAGTTACTGGCATGGTTCTGTGCAACGATGACTTTTTTGTTTTAAAAAAAAAAAAATCCAAGTTTTGAATTCTTTTCTGGATCAAGTATACGTATAAATTCTCCCTGACAGAAAAGAGCGATTAGGAAAGCAATGATCAAGTCATGATACAAACAGGGGAAAAGTGATAAATATTGACCTGTGGTGAGTGGACTTTTTAATGATCCAAAATTATTCTTGTTTTTCTATTTTAGCAAGACCAGCCGGCCAGTTCACTTTAGTTATATAGTAAACCTTCATTTGTTCATGTCCAGTGTGTGTGTGTGTTACATCATCGCCTCCTCCTTCTTTACTCCTCCTCACAGTGGGAAGGAACCAGTGCCAGAAGTTTCAGGCTCTGTTCCAACATGAACACACACACAGACACGCTACAACTCACGCTAATCTGCACCATTTCTGCGAAGGATATTTACAACACAACAGTGTCGCCAGAAACCACACATGTTCAGACGGACAGAGACCGTGGTGGTGTTTTGTGAACATTCACAAGCTGGTGTCGTGGATCTGGAGATCATGGGACATTTTGTGGGGTAGATGCTGATGTATTCTTCCCAGTATAGACCACAAGATTAGAAATATTTTGCAAATTGGATTGAAGCAATTTTCACAAATAGGCACAATTTTATATAATGAAATCTGATGGGTCATTTTATTTAGGTATTATTATTTTTTCATCAAAACACGATTTACTCAGCTCTGATACGCCACATGTCATGCCATTAATCGAGCTACTAAGTTTTGCTTTCCACCACACCGGGAGCAAACATACTATGATGTTTTGGGCAGATTAGGTCTTAAAAAAGAAACTGCAACAGGAGGCCTGAGTTTACACCAGGAAGTCTGGCAAGAAAAGAGCAAAAACCTACAACACAGGCACAACACATGACAGGGCAGGACTGAAACTTTTTGTTTCTCAGTAAACACAGTTTTTGCATTTGATAATGTTGCAGTAATTAACTGCTTGAATTCACATTTCAAACCTAGTCCACTAGACAGCCACTTTTGATTCATTGTGACTAATATTTGCAGGTTGCAAATGTTTAAGGAAGATGTTTTTCAAAAGTGTAAAATTAAATTCCCAACTCATGACATCAATAGAAGGTAATTTTAACCACTTAATACAAAACAGCTGTCCATGCTCTCCTGGTGTATAGGTTTGTATTAATATCGACAACCCTGGTTTCTCAAAATAAACTGACTTAGAGAGACAGAGAGCAAGTTCCTATTTAGAGAATGACAGACCTCCTTAGAGCTAAAATGGCCTCTAGGAATAAAGATGATCACACAGTAGCTGTTTGTGTACAGTTAATTAAATGATGAATGTGGAGGAATATTGTACATTTTCTCTAATATATAATTGAAATTGAAGCTTTTATCATGAAATCTCAAACTGTATTTAACCTCAGTAAGTAGCTGCACCTACACTATTGTGTCTGAGGTATATTTTTTGTTTGTGTGCCTCATTTTTTCCCCTAAGTAGTGCCAAACTTAGAGAGCTGCCTCACACTGATAACTATGACACTATGAGGTAACTATTCCTGTTCTTTTTTAACACTTCCTTATATCATAAAGCATCCTATAAACACAGTCACGAGAACACAGCAGCATCTGAGTGCACAAACAACTGCGAGCAGAGACGGTTTTGTTGTTGACACGTTTTCATGATGGAAGCCTCAGAGTTTGAGCAGATAATCCCTTTAGCTTGCATCTGACAAGACACCTGCTGCTGTTATGGCAGAGAAACCGAGGGAGGGGGTTTGTCTTTTTTGCTTTTTAAGGACACAGCTCCTACTGACTTGTAACATTTGCGTCCAAAGCAGATATTAAACTATAGTGGTCTCAGTCACTGCTTTCATCAAGCTGTAAGTCACAGTGAGATTCATCTGCTTCTGCATCAACCTGAAACAAATGACAACATTTCAGAAATATATGACCAATACTGAAATATTTACTCTGAGATGGAAATATTTCATGTACCACAGGGACACCTCTTTGCATTGTCCCTGTGGTTACATTTTTGACTTATAATTAGTTCCCACAATTCATCAGAGCTGCTTGAGGTCTAAAGACATTTAACCTGCTACAGAATCTGCTGAAGCTAAAACTGGTATTTAATAGCGGTTCTCTGAGAGAAATAAAAGGTTCTGTTTATTTTTTCCTTCTTTTAATAAATGTATGATTTGAGACACTTCTTTGACTTATGAAGGCTTTTGACAGTTTAAACCAAACAGTCCTGTCATCAAGCCACAACGCTGCCTGTTTATATTTGCATTTTGCATGACATACGGTAAAATTCTTAGAAATGCACCTATGTTGTTTCTTTTCCTTTTATTTCCAACTATCCTGATCTACAGGTTGAAGTATCTGTCGGTCCTCTGATGGACCTTTCAGTGGGTTACATTCATAGCGAAACCTTTCAAAACCTAATCCAACCTTTTCTCTGTACTGTCTGCAAGCTGGAAGAACTGATTCAAAAACCTGTTATAAAACGATGACATTAAGGATTCTTATCTCCCCTCTTTGTGTAGAATCAATGTGGCCTTTGTCTATTATGACATTATTATTATTCTTTGATTTACTCTGTCATGTTCTGTTTGGGCATGTGAATTGTGTCTGATTAGCATTTCTGTATTGTAAAAAAAAAAAATACAAGGAAAACAAAAGATGGGTACATTTGAGATCAACAGGAGGATAATTTTGCTTGTACTGCACCAACTATTTAGTTTAATGTTTAGGACAACAGCAGCGTGTTTGCAGGACCCCTACAGTTAAAAAATAATCAGGATATCAGTCGGTCATATGGGAGAGATTCACTGAGATGTTAGGTAGGTTTAAAAAAAAAACCTGATATTATCTGAGGTTAAATAATGTAACACACAAATAAATAAATACATTGGTTATACATTTATTTTTCGTTTTTCTCTCTCTCTCTCTCTCATTATATGTTCTACTGCTTTATTGCCGTGAGATGAAATGATATGAGTAAAGTGTCGAATGTTATGCCTAATTATGATTTGGCAATTCCATTTTGCCATTTAAAAAGACATATAACTAATCTACTATTACTGGATTAGCCACACTTTAAGAGAACTGTTAATTGTGTTGTAAGAATTAGGAATTGTATGTAATTTGTTACTATATCTAATTTGCTAGTTATAAATACAATATTTGCATGCATACAAAGGTTTTTGCACTGTTCACATACATCACGGTTTATGTGTTGTTACTCTTAGATATCCACATTTTATGTATTTTTATTGTTTTGTAGCGAATTAATACGTTCAGCTCGTTTTGCATCTCTTTTCACTGATTGTAAAAATACGACAATCAGAGTTGTGCAAAGCATTTTTAACAGTAATGAACATTGTGATACTCCTTTGAGATAGAGTTTCTCCATGTCACTGGGCCACTTCCTGGCCTTAACAGCTGCAAAATGTGAAGCAAAAGTTTTAACAGATTATAAACTGAAACTTTCGGACCTTCTCGAATGACATTTATGCAAACTGTAGCAAACAGTTGTACAAGCAGCTCATGAGCTGTTGTTTGTATGACATAAAGCTGTTTAGATGTGCTTAGATGAAGACAGAAGCTTTGCTAAACTATTTGTTCACGTTGTCCTGAGCTGCTGTTCCAGTCCAGTGGTCTCATCCCCTCCAGACGGCAAGATATAGACGCTTGGAGGAGTGCCAAGATGCAGAATGTTGACTCGCAGCCAGCAGCTTTACACCAGACTTCTTCTTCATCCTAATTATTATCATGTCACCGAGACACAAAAACATGAACGCATCCTTGTTTCCTCCCTCTCTTCCTCTCTCTCTCTCTCTCTCTCTCTCTCTCTCTCTCTCTCTGTGTCTCTGCTGTCCACCTGACTGTCCTGGCTGTGGGACTTAGCCAGAATTAATCAGCAGAGATCGTCGCTTTTAGAATTTTCAAGCCTGCGTGTGAAGTCAAACAGCAAACCTCACAGGTCACAGTGGTGTCAAGGAACTCTCATTCACTTTTATCTGTCAGCATATACACATTACCGTTTTTGTTGTTGTCAAATTTAAAACTGTAATCGTGCACAGCTACACTGCTGCTCATTTCAGCTACACTTTCCTAAAGGGCCGCATTGTCACTGGTAAAGTGGCTGGCTCAAAACTTCAGTTGCAGAAATGCATAAAATGAAATGTATCTGCACTCTTGGTCATTCATTTAAAAAAAAAAAACACTTGCTTGTAGATTTACTAATAGCATGATAAGACTTCTAAATGAAACCTACTTTTCTGTTCAGGCACTGATGCCAAGACATCTTCTGTTCAACACTGCTGCATTGTGATTGAGCACAGAAATGGATGCTTGCATGAAGAGTTTGAATATTTCTGAAACTGAGTGACAGTGAGGTCGGCTGTGTGTTTGCTGTCGTCACTGCAGGTAAGCAGTTGATAAGGGGATCAGAGAGGATTGGCGTCTTTTGGTGCCATCATCGAGCAAACTTGCAGATATTCTAGTTGTCTTCCTGCTTTGAAACAGTAGGCGACGTATGTGCCGTGCAAACCTGCCTGCAGCATCCGAAATAATGCACAAAACTGAAAACGCACCGTGTTATGAGCGTGACTGCGGGCTGAGAAAGGAGCATGCAGCTTTTCTTTCTTTCTCTCTCAGTGACCTGCTGATTCCTGCTCCCCCAGAGAGCATCCGACTATTATTAGCGGCTCTAATGGGATTGGAGGGCATTAACCCGGGGGATTATTTAGCAGCTACCGACACATGAGGGCAAGGCAGCTGGACATCAAGTGCCGGGTACGACAGAAAGAGAAAAGCTGTTCTTGGGCTGAAGCGAGGCAGCCTGAAGAACAGCTGATTCCCAGAAGGACACAAATGTCAAGCAGACAGAGCTTCTGTAACAACACCGACACCAACAAAGGTGGACAAGCACAAAAATAGAGACGCACAGGAAATAACACATTTGAGATGAAACTGTGTGTTGAAAAAAGTGAAATAAAATTGATTTGAAATTCTTTATCTCATGACTGCCAACATCCCTAAATAAAATAAAGTAAGGAATAAAGAGCGACTTTTTTGGTGATAATGAGCTCATCTGTTGCCTGAAACGTGAGACCTGTTAAAAAATAGAAAGCTCTTTTTGAGTGTTTTCTACAGCTGGTAACTATTGCATCCTAACAGTTTTTATATATTTTTTTAAAGAGCACAATTTGACTTTGTTGGTCTGCTCATGTGCAACTCTATATTTACATTGTACAGGTCCCTAAAAATGGATGACAGGTGATTGTAGAGAGCAACAGACTAGACTCAAAGTGCACACAAAAACACTATATGCAAACAGTGGAGACAAATTTAAAAAATAAAACTGTTTCCTTGTATGTCGGTGCATGTGTTGAAGTCTGGTAGATGTCTTCTTAGATTTCACTGTATTTGTATAAAAACAGCACCAGTCATCATAACGAACACTTCAAGCTGACCTCAGAATTAAACTTCACCGTCGTCTCGTCCCGCCTGGCATGAAGTGATTGGTTAAGTGATTGTAAAGTGACTGGTAAGTGTCTTGTGATTAAGCGAGCATCCTGTCAGCATGACTCACAGAGAGAAAAAAAACATTCATCTCTCTGCTGGTTGGACTTTTATTTAGTGACCAGATGCAGACAGGTTTTATGAGACCTGTGCATGTTGGGAGGAATAATAACAGATGTTCTGAAATGACGCTTTTTAAGAAACTGAGGAAACGACACTCAGAGCTTCCCTCAGCTGCTGCACATTTGGTGCAAAGTTGCTGAAGACTACAGAAATTCATGGACTATTTGTACTGTTCCTTCTCTCATCCTTACTTCAGTTTGATTTCTATCCCACAATATCCTCTAATAAATTAGCAATGTTGGGAAAATTGTTTTCAAGAGCATCATAACATCAGAGTTCACCGTAGATAATTAATAATTTAAAGGTTAACTAATCATTAAATAAATATCTTAGCATAGCAACCATCGTGGAACTACCCACAAACCACTTTGAAAGGACTTTGAGGAATAGAATTTAAAACAAAAAAGTAAAACTAAATGCAGCATCGTATTCTGCATCCTTGGGGAGCTCAGAATAAATGCAGAACATTTAAAATGTGCAAATTTGCATTGTCCTGTTCTATGGTAGTCTGGCTAAAGTGCAGTTTCTATGAGACATGTGCTACAGTGCGTTGCTAATATGTAGTAAATTTTTACAGCCATGTGTCCCTGTTATAGGTTTGGACCACACATTGGGCCGACGTGACTCTCTGACAAATGTTCAGTAGTTTCAAACAGCTATCTGTGATGAATGTGATCACAAACAAATGCATAACATTCATTTATGCTGTACCTTATCACTGAACACCATATGGGAAAAATTCATCAATATCCTGTTATGAAAATCCTAATTTGTGTATTTAAATGCATTGGGAAAGAGTCCTTACTGCAACTTTCCTCAGTATAGTAACATTAAATATCTTCAGAGTTTTCATCCAATTGAAGTTGGGACATTGGTCAACTCTCTTACATCATTCCTATTCTGGACTTCTTGCTGGACGCTGGTCCGAACTCGGTTGCTATAAGTAGCGACTGAAGACAAGGCCTGTTCATAGACTTAGTCAGCATGAAGAGATGCAGTCTGGCTCAGTGTCTGGTGCTGTCCGAGCTGCACAGATGGCAGGTTAAGGTAAATCTTTTATATCCTTGGAAAGTGAAATTCAGGACCGCTAGGCTGCCTGACGGAATACAGTCTGCTCAGCACTTAGGTGTGCTTTAAACTGTCTCTGCTTCTCGTGAAACACCTGCTCAGATTCCCAGAACAGGAGCGTTGCTATTCTGGGAAAGCGTAGCTGTTGTTGGCTATCATTGTGATCTCATTCAATGTGAAAAACAAACGGTTTATCTCACATCAGCCAAGAGACACTGACAAAACAGTCACGTTTTCTTCTGAGAAATGCTATGAACTCACTTCAGAAACTGCTCTGCTGAAACAACCAATCACACGTCTAATTGAGTTTGTCATCAGGGATGCATTGAGGAAAACCTGAGAAAATGTATCTTCACACTGTGTACTTTTTTAAATCTAATACAGTGACTGTCCTTGCTCTCTATTCCTTTAGATGGAGATGGACTGAAGGGTGGATCTAAGAATGAAGATGGTAAGGTAAATGTAAGAGTGAATGGATGAATGTCAGGATTTATCCGCACACAACAATGGTCTATGCCAGCTGCAGCTGTTGGCACCGAACTTGCCCTAAAACAAGAGTGGTGTTAAGCAGAAAATGGCTAACTGGAAAGTTGGGGGGATACATCAAAGGATGGATGGATGGGGGCTGTTTGGGTTAGTGGATGAGCTGTGGTTGAATCGATGTGCTATGGATGGATGGATGGATGGATGGATGGATGGATGGATGGATGGATGGATGGATGGACGGATGGATGGATGGATGGGCGGATGGATGGATGGACGGATGGATGGATGGATGGATGGATGGAAGGATGGATGGATGGACGGATGGATGGACGGATGGACGGATGGACGGATGGATGGATGGATGGATGGATGGATGGGTGGGTGGATGGGTTCAGGCTCACCTTTGGTGCATTTTCAAGCCCATCCACCTGGTTGCCGCCCAGCGTGCTCTTGATGACATATTCAACTTTGGCATTGAACTTCATGAATGTCACATAGCAGGTGTAGCACATAAGCAGACTGATACTTTCTCCCAACGTGATTTGATTATCCAGAAAGAAATAGATGAGCATGAGCAAGCCGATGATATAGAATGAGACGTCTCTGAACAGAGGCCACCAGGTGAGGTTCAGCACCTCTTTGGAGAACAGGGCGCACATCCCGATCACAAACAGGATGTTGAAGACAGCCGATCCCACGATGGTACCAATACCCACGTTGCTGTGGGAGACAAAGACTCCTATGACAGAGGTAAAGAGCTCTGGGGCCGAGCCTCCTGCTGCCATGAAGGTGGCTCCTGCTACATCATCAGAGATCTCCAGCTTCTCTGTGATGACAGTGAGCGCAGGGACAAAGAACTCATCACACACGATGGCTAAGGCTATGAACATGTACAACATGCCAAACATATGAAACGACACAAAGCCCTGGCGTCTCTCATCCACGCTGAAGTAGTCCGTTGGATAGTCCCCATGATTCATCTCTAGCACAGAAGTTGATTCCATGGACTGTGGTGTGTCCTGATGTGCGGCTGAGAGGTTGCGGTGCTGCAGGAGAGTTCTTTGGGGCAACGCCGCCCCTGCTGAGCCCTCGTCGGCCGATTCCCGCTCGGTGTCCACTGTTGTGACCAGTGAAAAGGCACTCCATGAACAGACTGTGCAGACAGCTACCAGGCTGATGACGAAGCCCAGAATCCTACCGGGCCGCAGCTTTCTCTTGACGCACTGGTAGTGGTGTCTGGTGCTGCTGCTGTGAGGGCCCAGAAGAGGAGCAGAGCTGGAGTATGCTAACATGTCTTGACTTCTTATGGGTAGCAGGAAATCCATGGTGTTTGGCGCAGAGTGGAAGTGTCTGGAATCCCCCCCAAAGTTGGGTTGGTGGTGCTGGTGGCTACGAGGGTGGGGGTTTGACAGGCCGCGGTGGTTCACCGATTTGTTTGTTGCATGCTGCTCCCAGGTTTAAGCACAATGGAAGCCCTGCAGTCTAATTCCAGGATCCAGCCCATTCAAAGGCTTCCTCATATTACTCACTACAAGACAGACAGAGAGAACAGTGATATGAGTTAGAATGCAAGAGTGTAGATTAACAGTAAAAACGTATTATGCAGAAAATGTTCAGTGTATAATTTTTTCAGATATATTCCAGCACCTTACAGCCTTGCCTTGTTTGTAGTGATGTAAAGCAACTAAACACCTTTAATCGAGTACTTTAATCCAGTGCAATCTTGAGAAACTTGCACTTCACTTTTCCACTTTCAGCTACTTTCTAACTTTTCCTATCATGTCATAAAATAAAAACCCTCATTCAGTTCAGCTTCAGAAACAAAAACAAAATTAACATAGGCAAAGACATAGACGTTACTAAGCTAAAGGCCTGCAGGTGCACTGTAAATTCTTACTAATGGCTTATGATGGGGCAGCATGATAAGAGGTCGGGATCACGTGGGGTCAAATGTCCTGAGCAGTGAGTTCCGGGTTTGATTCCCATCCAGCTGAACCCTCCTGCTCACCTTCCGCACATTTACTGTCTATCTAATACAGGCAGAAATGACTTTGCTCACATAAAAATCTTCTCTTTTTTTTTTTTTTAAAGTAATGGCTCCTTATTAAAATTCTGTGTTTTCAGAATTTTACTTTGAATCTAGGTATGTTATTTTTGCAAGCGAAAAGAATTTGTTAGTTTGTCGTGGATGATTTTAGAAATCCTGTTTGCAGCCATGCACAATAATTTGTGTTTTAATGTAAAACTGCAAATTACAGATTATATAAAAACGTAAAATATTTAAAAGTAAGAATTTTGGAGGAACTGAGATTATTTCATTATTGTTTATTTGGAATTACAGTGTGTATTTGGGTGAATAATAAAAGTCTAAATAACAATTCCAGCTCTCTTGACATTGTGCTGAGAAGCAGCAGGGAACAGTCTCCTTTAACTGAAGCCTGGACATTAGCAAAAGCTCATTAGGAAGCTATTTAATCCCTGAGAAGATATACTTACTCTCACTGGCTACTTCATTAGGTACACCTGTTCAACTGCTTGTTAAAGCAAATATCTAATCAGCCAATCACGTGGCAGAAACTCACTGCAGGCCTGCTGAAGTTCACCAAGCATCTGAAAGGAGAAGAAAGGTGACTTGAATAATTTCGACTATGACCTGGTTGTTGATGCCAGGTCAGGTCATGGTTTGTCTATTTCAGAAACTGTTAATTCTGAGATTTTCATGCACAGTCATCTGCAGAGTTTAGAGAGAACGGTCTCAGAAAGAGAAGCCTCCACTGAGGGTTAGTTTTCTGGGCAAAAACTGGTTCGGCTCGACTGGTTTGGGTAACGGTAAAGTAACAGTTACTCAAGTACTCAATCACTCTCATCAATCAAGAGAGGCAGAGGAGAATCTGAATGCACAGAATGTTGGGTAAAACTCCTGTCAACTAAAAGCAGGAAGCTAAGCTTGTTTGGACAATAAAAATTTATCAGAATATAACCTTAGGTGCCTCATTATCAAGTAAGCATCATTTTAATGCTGCAGCCTCCCTGAGTATTGCCATGTCCATCCCTTTATGACCCCACTGTCTTGTAACAACTAGTTTTAGCAGGATAACAGGCTTTATTATAAAGGTCTTTTAATCTCTGACTGGTTACTTGACCGTGACAAAGAGTTCACTTCTCAAATCGCCTCCACAGTCAGATCTCAATCCAATAGAGCACCTTTGGGATATAGAGCAACAAGAGATCTTCATAATGAAGGTGCTGCCAACAAATCTGCAGCAACTCATGTGGATGAAACTTTCTGAGAGCTGTTTCCAGCATTTGGTTGAATTGAGGTAATTCTGGGGTAGAAGAAGGTTCAACTCGGTATGAGCAAGGTGTACCTAATCAAGTGGCCTGTCAGTGGAGATTAGACGTGGGCCCTGCACACTGGACAAAGTCAAAAAGGAGACACCAATAAAATGAACTGATAAGAGCTAATTTGCACATCAGAGATATTCAACATTAAAGCAACTGCATTTGGACAAACTGCACTGAAGACTGTTAATTTGTGCAAAGTCTTAATCTGATCTGAAACCGAAATGCCAGTGATTAAAAGTACAATATTAAAGGTTTACAAATTTCAATCTTCTGCTATGAAAGCAGCTCTTGAAGAGTAAATCTGAGCTCATTTAGGAAATTATAGAGCGACAGTGGCCTATAGTTGCAAGCAAAAACCACACAAGTAATATCTTTGGTTCTCATACCACTCTTGGTTATCTCCCATTCGGCAAAAAAGGACTCCAGCACGTAGCAGCTAGTCAGGTCCTGGATCTCCGAGGGAATATTCCAATAAATTGACTCCCAAAGGCCAGAACGATCCCGGGCGCTCAGCGTTCAGTCTGAAGGTCCCAACGGTAAATCCTTAGTGAGATTTTCCTTTCTGAGCAGAGGTGGAGCTCCGAGGCACCGGGTTCAGGGGGGTGGTCTCCTCCCTCCCTTTGACACTGCCTCCCTGCCTTTACCTTTCCTCCTCCCTCCTTGTCCTCTCCCTCCCTCTATGTCCCCGTCCAAGAACAAGGATCACTGTCCATCTTCCTTACTGCCTCCTTCTACCAACCCTCCCCCTGCTGGCTCCCACCTCCCCCAGTGTCCTGCATAAATTCTTCCCATCTCCACACCCAACGGATGGTCTTACACAACAAGCTTATAGCTCGGTGGGGCTGAAGCCTGTTGTGCTATCAGATCATAGTCCTCTGCTCAAAGCCCTTGAAAACTACCTTAATTGGTGTCTGCACAAACCCACTGCAGCAAGAGGAGACGCTGCATGAAATCTATATGCGCTTCATAACTTTAAAAGTAGGCTTAAAATGAAAGAGTCATTCTGGCAACTTAAGTTTAGATTCATTCATACTGTTGGACACTTATTCATACTTTTGCACAGCTTTTCTCTCATCATTTCCATTTTCTTTAGGAATAGTTTGCCACATTTTAAGAGTTCTTGTTCACACTGCATGTTATAAATACCAGCTTGTTGGAGGTGATGTCAGCGTGCCCTCTGTCTTTCATTTCCCACATGTCTGTAATTGGCTCTGGTTGCAACACCTGCTCTTAGGACACAATCCTGAAGCCAGGAATTGTTGTCCAACAATACCTGAACATGCTAATCTGGACCCACTTAGACCCTTTAACTGCTAACTGCTGAACTACAGCACAAGTTGAATTTACAAACCCCCCCCCCCCTCCTCAAATTCCAACATTTATTGCACATAATTATATGAAAATGATTTCTAATATGGGAAATGAATATCACATTTTGCATTGCTAAGTTCTGTGGTGATTTATTGTAGCGTGAGTATGTGTTTGCGCATGAGAGCACTTAAAGTCAGGTCATGGATTTACACGTGAGAACTGCATAAGCTTCAGCAGCAGGTACCTGAGGCTGACTTCAGATGATGCGTCCTATTCTGTTACATAGCATGTCCTTAACATAGTGCAGTTTGTGTGTGGAGGGAGAAGGAGAGTGAAAAGAAGTGGCAGGAGTAGTGTTGTAGAAGTAAAAAAAATGAGAAATTAAAAAGCTAAAAAGGTTTTAATGCTGAAAAAAACTATCACTCAATGGGAGAAATGCACCAACAGGAGAAGAACAAGGAGAATTTCTGTGAAGAGAATGTTGTTAGTATTTTATTTCAGTTCCTTCAAAAACCACATAACCCTGCTGGGATTAAATCCAACTAGACCTGTTGATAGTTTCTCACCTCCTGCTGCTCTCATCCAATTAAACAGGTGCATACTTCATGGAGCGCGGTGCTAATTTTCCCTTGTTAAGCAAGTTGTTGCTCTTGCTGACTGACACCTGGCTTGATTCCTCACTGCTTAAAAGCTCTATTACATTCTAGGAGCCTGAGCTGGCTTTCAATAAAATTCTGCTTAAAGGATCATTGCTCTTTGAAATTTCCTTTAGCGGTTATAAGTTTGTCTGAGTCTAATTTACATGAACCCAGTCCCATTGGACCTCAAGAAAGAATATCTGCAAAATATTTGTTGGTATTCATTATAGACTTTTATACTATGTTAAATAAATTTTCTGATAAGTTGACGTATTTATGGTTCCAAATGCATGACAAATGTCCCTCTTTTTATATTAAAAATTAAAACAAAATCTTCAAAAGTAAAAAATCTGTCACCCAAACCAAATGGCCTGGGGTCCAAAAGGCCCCAAAAGTCCTGAATAGGGTAAAAGAAACAAGAAAAAAAGCACAACCTGAGCTGCTTTCATACAAAGTTTTGTGCTCTCTCTGCGTATAGTAAAGTCGATGTCTATTTCCGCACTATAAAACAATGAGGCAATGCGATGACCTGAGGAGACGCCTGGTTTGGCACATGGGAGTTTGACCTTAGCAATGATTGTGTATTTGGGCTGTAGCTGCTATATTAAGGGTTATGTAAAGTCCTGAAAAGGCTAAAGTGGTTGTGTAACCAGCCAGCTAACCTAACCCTCTTTCTAGGTAGGTTGCGGTACATCGCATGCAGAACTTGAAATACAAATAAGTCTCTTGGCGTGCAAAGCAACCCTCACAAGACCTTCTGTGGCTCTTGCAGGTTACCTCTCTGACAATAACAAGTAATATCTGTTAGGGGCTGACCCTGAAATAGCTACAATGACTGTGCAGACTGTGTGCTTTACATTATGTGGCTGAATATTATCCAAACTTTGGCAGAGAATTAGACCTGCAGATCTTGATTTTGCTTCAGATGGTTGCAATCCACTGACTAGAATGTTTCTTAGATTATGTTACGACTAGAGGTCTCTCACTTGTGAAGTTGGTGCCTTCAGGCAGCGAAAAGCAAGAGACAAAGA